AAGCGCAAAGTTGGTCTGGAGCGATTATACTGATGCGTCTGATATGCGACAAGATACATGTTTGTTTTCGGTTCCTCAAAGTTGTCATTGTTTGCGTTGTCTCATGCTCATTATCTGAGTCGTCCGTTAAGATTATTCATTTTTATCCATTCCTTTCAGGCTATATCTCTTCGCATGTCCGTTGTTCTCACTACTTTCACCCAGCAGAACAGGGGCCAGCAGGAAACAGGCTGTTAGCTGGCAATGCCATCTATACGGAGGTTAGAGGTTTTATATCATCCAGTGCATAGTCTATCACTGTGAGTGCCATATCCTGAATGTCACTGAAAGTTTTCCATACATGGATGTGAACGACTCTTCAGATCTCTCAGGTTCACTCTTGACTCACCAGAGTATGCTTCTGTTTTAATGGGTGTTCCACAACTGCATATTCCTTTAATGGTCATATACACTACTCTGGAGAGAAGGTTTTTATCTCTCTCTGCATAGTGGGATATGGTCTGGAGTACTGTGCCCGGATCAGTGATATCAGGAACACGCAAGTGAGGATTTACACACTGAGCGCCACTGTATCTGGGTTGGAGTGGGCATATTCCAAGGAGATAGAGAAGGAGTGCCAGGATATGGAGTACTACTTTGCTACGTCTTGAGAAAGACAGAGAAGTTCTTGCCTTTGCTGTAGACCCTGAGTCCTTCTTTATTCTATAGATGATACCTTTGCGGCATTGCGGAGTGTGCAAGATCAACTTCCTGTCCGATTTAATAAGATATCATTTGTTCAAACTTTCTTTCACATCCCTGTGTTTTTAGAAGTTGCTTTTTCGCCCTGCCCAGTTGGTTTCCAACTTTTGAGAGGCTCCTGTGTCTGTCACCAAATACTGCTGGACAACAACATTGACACTTGCTACTTCTCCAATGGTGCATTCATCCTGAGACGTGCCCCCTACTGGATTGGACTACCCAACAATAAAAACTCCTCCATTCTCATCCATCCTCAGTGCCCCTTTGATTACTGCAAATCAACAGACCTTAACATCCTTGTAGATGGAAGAGTCGACATCGCTATATACGCTCAAGCCTGTTATACCTGTGGTAATTTTCGCAACACACAACAGTGCCAGTACCACCGATCAGGAGTCCTGTGTGGTAGCTGTCGTGAAGGCCTCAGCACGATCCTGGGATCCTCAGAGTGTAAGATCTGCTCCAATGTCTACCTCCTGTCCATCGGCATCTTCATTCTGGTGGGTGTGGCTCTCGTTATCCTGCTGACCCTACTGAACATGACGGTGTCAGTTGGTACTCTGAATGGACTCATTCTCTTGGCCAACATCTTGCAAGCCAACAGAGCCACATTTCTACCACCAAGTGCCTGTCGCACCAGTGTCCTAACTACATTCCTTAGTGTATTCATATCGTGGCTAAATCTAGATCTAGGCATCCCTGTGTGCTTCTTCGATGGACTAACAACCTACTTCAAAACATGGCTTCAGTTTGCGTTTCCTCTCTACATATTGACATTGGTTGGTGCCATGATCGTTGCCAGCAATCACTCTACACGAGTCACTTGGCTCCTCGGGACCAATACGGTCTCAGTCATGGCAACTCTTATCCTTCTCTCCTATGCCAAGATCCTGAGAATCCTCATCACAGCTTTCTCCTTCACTACAATCACGGGGTCACAAGGCTACCATAGTGTGGTGTGGCTGGCCGACGGTAATATCAAATACTTTGAACCCAAACACACCGTTCTCTTTCTAGTAGCACTGTTCGTGCTCCTGCTCTTTGGAGTACCCTATACAGTCACTTTGACTGCTGCTCCCTGGATACAGAGGTCGAGGTTCAGGCGGGTGTCCTCTCTGTACAACAGGTTCAAGCCTCTGTTTGATGCATACATGGGTCCGTACAAAGACAGTTGTCGCTACTGGACGGGAATGCTGCTGCTAGTGAGGGTTGTTCTCATAGTCCTATTCTCCAGCCTTGCCAACACCAACACAGTGGCTGGTCCTCAACTGAGTCTCCTTCTTCTCGTTCTCTCCTTCTCTGCCCTGCTAGCTCTCACTACAGCCATCAAACCTTACAAGAACAGGCTACTGAATGGACTAGAGGTGTTCCACCTCTCGATCCTGTTGATGTTCTCCTCCTCAAATCTCTATGTCTCAAGCATTGGCACTGGAATTGGAGCTCTTGGCTATGTTTATACGATACTTATTGGGATCTGTTTCCTTGTGTTTCTTGGAATCTGTGTAGGACACGTCTGGTACAAAGTAAGGAAGGCTCGGACTGGAAGGAGGCCAGAGCCACCAGAGATAGAGGAAGAGGAGCGATATCCTCTGTGGCACAGAGCCAGGATTCGAGCTGAGGACGAGGAAGAAGAGAGGGAAGAGGTCACACTATCAACAGCTGGGGCCGATATTTCAGATGGAGGCTTTAGAGACTCGGCTTTGGACCTGGCAAACCTAAACTAATGAACGAATCAGATGACTGCTTATTGTAATTAAGGATTCATAATGCAACTTCGTAATTATACCATTGTATGCCATAGTGCTTCTGATAAAGGAATCACAATGCAACTGATAATACTCAACCATACTCCATTGATTGCACATCTAGAGCACTGGGCGCTGGGATTTCTATGTGTAGGGTTGGCAAATCTCACATGATCCGCGTACAAAACGGCTCCAAACTCGGCGAGAACGGCTAGCAAAATCTTGCAAACTAAGCCAAAGTCACTTATATTATTCTCAAAAGCATCATAATTTATTATGTGCATTTAATTCTCCACACGAGAAATCGCTCATACCCAATTTCAGGGTTATAATTTTACTAAGTTAGTGATAAAAAAACATGTCAACTGCAATAATGACAAACAGGAGAAAAATAGGAAATTAACTGTATGTAATCAGGTATGCTGGGTATGCCTTGTCGTGGTCGTAAACGACATACACTTGACTACGCAGTGGGTTCTCTACAACACCATTCACACTGTCATATGAATCAGTGGGGGAGTCGGGAAGTCTCGGTGGTGCCTTCAGTGCTCTGTTAGGTTTAGGCAGGTGGACACTCCTCCCAGTGAGCACACGCGCAACAAACACCTGCCTGTTGCCCCGGGGAGTGTGGAAGGCAAACCGGCTATCGCAGTAGCTTGCCTTGACTGCAAAGTAAGTCCCTTTGCCCCACAGACAGTCTTCCGATCCAAATCGGAAATCAAAACCCTTCTCCGACGTGATGATACTGGCGGGATCAGTCGCTCTTGTCCCGTGAAAAAGAAGTCTCTCGTTGACTTTATCGCTGCCGTTTTTTCGGCTCATGAGAGACTTGAAGAAACTGTAGCGTTTCCAGAGCAGGAGGTTCTGGATACGCGTTATCTCTACCAGTCGAACACGTGGCAGACTCTGCCTCAACAAATCTTCCAGTTCTCTCCACTCTTCAGTTCCCACTGGGACAGCTACGGTCAGGACGGGTGACCTCTGTCCCTGTTTCCAGTGCTGAGGTAGGGCAAGAGGCATCTCCATAGCCAATGGAGCTATCTTCTGTTGGAAGACCTCCAAGAGATGGACCTTGACTGCAAATGTGTACTCCCTCTCTCCCTCCAGTTGTAAGTGGCGTGTAGGAGCTCCAGGAGGAGTACCGAGTGTCCCAGGACTGGTTAAGTCCACAACAACTCGGGTTTTTATGCAAAACTGTCTGGCTATGTTCACGAGAAGACACTCCAAAGATTCGGCGATATTAGGGGGCATGGAGTATATCTGCCTGGTCACTTGGTTCTCGAGTAGTGTGCTCAGGGCAAGTTCGATCTGAGGCCAATCAAACCCTCCTGCAGCGAACTGCAAGAGTTAGCATGCAATCCCTTGATTCTGAAAGAGGGTGGGTTTCGACACAGGAACCACCTGGATCCGTATGGTGAAGTCGTGTAAAACCATGGGGTTAGAGAGTGTGTCAAAACTCACTGGCTCTCCCAAGCTGCAGGAGCCCCGGTGCTCCATAGTGGACCGCGAGGTCTATCTCCTGGCTCGTGACTGCGTCCAAACGCTCGACTGAACGTGGGGCTTGCTGCACTCGTCACGCTGGCACTGTCGCTATACGCCAGACAGGAGGCTCGTTGTCAATCTACCAAACAGCTCCAAACCCTCCTGAACTACAACCATTCTCGAGAAGTCGATGCTGTATTTGATGGAATCGAGAGAGAAAAAGCAACCGTACCGTTTCGGAATGGATAAAACTTTGTTGAGAAGGCTATTGATGGACGGCGGAAATTCTCTTCTGCCCAGAGGCATCCTCATAGCGCCAAATGCGACTCATCTTCATCTCGGCAAATCTAGACACTCTGATACCAGGTAACAAGTTATCAGAGCTCCACTTGGCTTGAGACTACTTATGTTGGCCACGAAATCTGGGAATGAGATGAAATCTCCTGACGTCGTAACAACCGAGATAACCACACCAAATTGCTCGTGTATTCTGTCAACCGCACTGACGACAGGGGGTTATGAGAAGGGGGATATTACAGCAGTGAAGTGTGGAGAGGCTGTGTAGATATATCCTGTGACACTGATTGTATTAGAGTCAGGAGATCACTCTTGGCTCCCTGCACGTCGCCTCCTCCCGGAATACTGGAAGCAGTATCACGTCGTCATTACAGACAGTGCATACGGACATTGTGGGTCGTGGAGACGTGCAGTAGGTCAGGACGGAGGCTGGTAGTAGAGCGTACTACACCCAAGACCAGGGGTCCACGGTCACGCTGTAGCATAACAGGGGTGTAAATGGCGTGAAAACATACATGCATTAGGGCGCCCCGAGTCAGGGCCCCCCCTAATGGGGCGGACTAGTGCCAGAAGAACATGCTGCAAACACCTGATCTTATCGTCCACAGTCACAGCCTCGACCTTCTCTGCCATAATGTGAGAAAAGCGCGTGCGCGTAGTGAGCCACGCCCATTTTTGCTTATCGCGCGCGCGAACGCCCAAATGGGATGTCATAAGTTTATTGGTGATCTGAACCAACAGGGTTTTCGTCATTAGGGGGTGAGAAGGTGGAAGCTCGGAAGAAACTATTCCCAAAATCTCTTCAATTTTATTGTCTGAAAACGTTCATCAATCTCCTCTATTATCTGCATAAAAACAACAGTACATAAAACTGGATAAATGTGAAAATTAGATCAGCTCACCACTGCAACTCAACTTGAGACATCGGCCTCAGATTCACTAGTTGCAACTTTTCTGCTCTGAATATTACATTGAAATTTGCTCAAATTTACAACATGAGCTATCTTGTCTAAGTAACTAACTTTGTGAGATTGAATGGTGCAATTGCCTTCAAGAAATTCTCAATACATGTGGATTCTTGAGCAAGCAGAATGAAAAATAAAACATGCAAATACTACACCGGTATATACCTGGACAGCAGCCGGCGTCTTTGAGAGATATTCTGTAGTCTGAGGAAAAAAGATTAGCTATGCAGGCCAGTGTATGGTGTTCTACTCACCTCGTAAGTGACGGTGGCCAGGTTTTGGCCTCGTCCGTTGGGTCTTTTCCCTTGAGATTTTTGCTGGGACTCGGAGAGAAAATCTAAGACCTGCAGCAAAAATTCGCAATCAAGAAGCTGTAACTATGCTGAGACTTAAAGCTCTAAGGGTGTGCGTGAGGCTTACCTCGAAGTTAGAGAGCATCCCAGCGTTATCCTTGATTCTGTTGACGAAAGACACAACCAAATACACGTTGCCCTGTACAGAAGACAAAAGAAACTTACACTTGCATGACCGTCGGATGCGTATTCGAGTTATTGCGCACCACAGCATAGTGGGAGGGGCTCGAATAGTAGCTAGCTAAAACCAGAAAGATGGAGCTGTCCGGACTCATGAGCAGAGCAACCCTCAGGTCTAGGTTAGTGGGGTATTATATACTAGAGCCTTCAGATAGCTGCACGAATAGGCTGATGTTTAGCTATCTAGCTAGATCGCAATATCGACTATAGCTACTTCGCAGCCCCACCCCCTTTCTTACAGATCGGAGGGAGGTGATGGACGTACTCGAGGGACAACTCACCACGGATCTTCCAAAACCCGTGTCCAAGTGCATCAGATTATTCCTATCATCAGATCTAACAGGTATATACACAACTTTAGAATGTGCTGTGTATATATCATGCACATGGGACATACCTACCAATTCACACAGACACCAGTCACGAGAGAAGAATGCTGAAAGAGAAGGTTTTCCCACATCTCCGGTCGTTCAGTCGCAGTCTGGGCCTACAGCTCCACGTAGTTGATCTCTATGACAACCTCCCTGCTGGGTGGTTGCCTCCTGTAGCCAGCAGGGGAGAGGTAGAGGAACAAGAGGGAGAACGAGAAGGAGAGAGGGAGGGAGAGAACCAAACTGGACAGGAAATGGAAGGAGGAGTGGGAGGAGGGAGCGAGGTCATGTGTGGCCTTGAGCTTAGAGGCCTGTTTCAGTTGGCTCTGAGTGAGATACGCACCTGCCAGGACATGTCAGCTGGCCCAACCTTCATAGTAAGCATCCTACCTATACTGCACTGCAATGCTCTATACTCGACTTGCTCAGAGTCTGCTGGGACAGAAGTATGGACACAAGCCTCTCCCTCCACACATCCCCGAGGAGGAATACGCTCTGCTGTGTGGTTCCATGGAGGACTCTGCTGACGAGAGGCAGCTGGTGCAGCAGTGGTACCAGTTGGAGTCTAATGCACAGCCTCCTCACTACGAACTCCTCCAGCCCCCACAGAACTGGTGAGCCTAACAGTGGATCCTCTGACAAAGGACCCTCCAGTTAAAGGACACTTAGTTCTGTACCGAGTGAGGGACACCTCTGAATAAATGCTTTTGATGTCCTCGCGGTGTCCCTTATTCAGAGGTTTCAGTGTGTAGGCTTCTCTTCTATACCTTCCACAGTCTCAATAGTGTGTGTATCCACAGCAATGAAGACTGGGTCAATACACAGAAGGTCCTCTCGACAACTCTTAGGAAAGCTGCTAAAGCTGCACTCGGAAGTGATGGAAGCAGAGCCCAGAAGTAATATCATGTCAGGTACGATAGTGCAGTAAAGAAGTAGTTCTCATGTGTTTATATGCCCATACCTGAGAGTAATGGTATACCGATGGTTGTATCTATGCACAGCATCTGAAGCGGAAGTGACTGCAGGCATATTTCAACTGAGAGCTGATCCGAACCAGTGCTGTCTGTGGAGCAAGAGGACCTTCACAAACCTGCTGGAGCAGCGGCCTGCCGGAGAGCCCGCCCTGGAGCTGTTTTGTTGACCTGGTGGGCGGTCGCAGAGGACCGGAATTTGACACTGAGCTCTCAAGTCTCTAAACTACTTGAAAGAGGCAAAGATGCCTGCCAAAGTACATTGGGTAGGCTCCAGACGGTGTCATACTGTGTGTGAAAATGCATAAGTACTGGCTGTGTGTAATAGTTACGACTATAGCTAGATGAGTTTTTACTGTCTGGTAAAGATCTCTCATCGACTCCAGAGCTAGTAGCATGTGAATGTTTAGAATTTTTTGTAACATGCAGTCCTTGATGCCAGCAATATCTTTGAGTTTCCAATCAAGTGGGAGCGAGGGAAAGGTCTTGACCCCTCTACTTGCCAGCCCCACAAAGAATACCTCACTGAGATGTTGTGAGAGAGTGAGTCGGAGCCTCGAGCAGCAGATCTCACAGGCTGCAGACATGGTGGGCAGAGAGACCTCCCATCCCAACTACCAGGAGGTCCTCACTCATAGCCTTCACTGCCGGGCACTGCATAACTACCCACTTGGTAAGTGAATAAGCCAGCACTTACATGAATACATTTCCCACACTTAGTTTTTCAGGGTGGTACAGCAAAATGAACTCTGTCCTGAAAACTAACCAATCAACTTAAAAGTTCCTGAGACCAGCACATGCATGAAAAAATACATCCTCCTTTGTAACATACAGGATCGGCCCAGAGTATCGGAGCAGATTGAGTCCTACATGAAGAGTTCAGCTACACATCCTCTAGTGGTACACGGCCCTACTGGTCATGGCAAGACCTCACTGATGGCGGCTGCAGCTTACCGTCTGAGAGAGGGAAACCCTGGCGTTAAAATGGCAATTGTGTTGCGATTCCTGGGACTGACTCCCCACTCTTCAACCATATTCCACACACTTAGAAGTATACAGAGCAGGTCAGTGGGTCTAAAAACTTAACTCATTAGATTAACATAAGTACCTGCAGTGATTCACTGAAGTCTACCTACAGTTAAAATTTAGCTCAACAGATGTGTATCTATGCTTTCTCTGGGCTTTCTCTCATCTACAGATAGCAGAAGTGTATGAGATGGAGAGGGTGGTCATCCCAGGTGACTACCAGGGAGTGAATGGGATGTTTGTCAGGTGTTCTGGAGTGTGCAAGTGAAGAGAGACCGCTCTACCTGCTCCTGGACGGAGTCGACCAGCTCTCTCCTGAAGATGGGGCCTGGGGAATGTCGTGGCTCCCCACTCACACTCCCACTCACGTGAAGCTGGTTCTCTCCAGCTCATCTGAGCCAAATACAGGGTCTTCCCGTCCTCCAGAGTCTGCTGGCTAAACATCCCACAAGCATGGTCCAGGTACAAGACATGTTGAAATACGGTTTATAAACACTGTATGTACTGAGTATTGTACATTCTCGATTTTGCCGGGAAAAACAAACACATTGTATGTACTATTGTGTGTTGTTTTGTATGAAGCAATTAACACTATTATTACTACAGGTTCCTCAGTTGTCATAATGAAGAGTGCAGCAATACTGTGTCCACAGTCTGTCACTTGAGGAGAGAACATTGAACTCGGTAGCAGATGAAGAAGGCAGTGGGCTGCTCTACAGCAGTGCCCAGTGCCACTCTTCCTCCAGTTGATGATGAAACAGCTCAGGGACTGGAAGTCTTCTCCATTATAACAGACCCGATTCCATCTTCTATTGACGGTAAAACCTGTATACCAATGTACGTATGTGATCTGTATGTGGCTACTCATAGACACACAATTAAATGTGGCAGTTAATTTTAGACTTTCACATTCCCTCACGTCTCTCATTTACAGTTGATAGCAGGTCTCTCATTTACAAACTGGTAATTTGTGTAGACTGAGCCCGTGAAATGTTTTCTCTGACTTTTTCACTAAGTGCAACACCTCTCTCAACGCAGCCCTAATAGAGAGATATTTGGTGGAGTTGGAGGAGAAGTATGGGGTGGTGTTGGTCAGTCGCCTCTTGGCCTATGTATCAGCATCTAAACACGGACTGACAGAGCCTGAGATTTCTGGACATCCTTGCACTTGACACAGAGGTATATAGCTCCAGCTTATACACACAGCCACAGAGTAACTGGACACTGAACTATACTATCGTGTGTTTTATAGGTACGTCAGAGGTGAAATCTGGGTTTGGCGGTGAAGGTTCTGCTGACCTGATCTTCTCCTCCCGCCTGTCATGTGGACTCAGCTGAGCCTCAGTCTCAGCCTCTACTGACCTACAGAGTTGGTGTGGATCACTCTCTGGTGCTGCAGTGGAGTCACCGGAGACTGAGAGAGGTGGCCGAGACACGATACCTGCAGCAATACCTCTCAGGTATCACCTCATCTGCTGTGAAGGCAATGTAGCGCTTTCAAAAGTAGATGAAGCTAGTTTCCCTCCTTGACCATTTATCCTGACTCATAATAATGCCCCTTTGCTCATGCAGAAGGTGTATGGAATGCTGGCTGATTACTTCAGTGGCACAAGCTCAGAGAAAAGGATCCAGAATCAGACGATAAAAGTGTAAGTAATAGTCCTTGATCTCATGCACCAATGATATGCTGTGAAATATTTTTTACTCTCAGATTCCCTGGAGGCACTCTATGCAGTCAACACCCAGTCCACTGCTCCTGAACGAGGGCCTGGGCAGTACAACACATCCGCAACTCTCGGAGCTGCTCACGTCCTGGCCAGGAGTGGTCGGTTTGCCTACCAAGGCCCTCACAGAGCTATTGCTGGACTACCAGTGGCTCAAGGCCTGCGTCCTCTCCTGTCCTCCTGGGATCTCATCCACGACTTCACTCCCTCATACCCACGGTCCCTATTGGCAGGTCTACCATCCATTCCAGGCATTAACTTAGCTTACGTCTCCTTATTGTCCATACACACGAAATGTTTTATGGTGGTAGCGTGGAGATGCCCCCACCATCAGAGCCAGCGCGAGCTAGAAGATAATTTTTCAAGGAGTTATAAGTCTTTAGTTGACCAGATAGTGCATGGTTGTCAAACATACAGCAGTCACCTTCAACAGTAGCTGTCTGTACGACAACTGATATCAGGTCCGTTTTATGCATGAACAGATGAGGGAAATTCCAATGTTAAACAAGTAAGTGAGGATGAAAGCATATGAAGGGGAACATTACGTTGAGGCAAAAATTTGGACTGAAAAGCTTGTATATAGAAATACTCCCACTTCTAATACAGGACTAACACAGATGTTGACCATGAGCTGCGGCTGTTGCGACAGACTCTGATGTACTCTACAACTGTACTGAATGTAGACAGCTCTCAGCTGTGTGCCCAGCTAGTTGGCAGACTCCTACCTTACATCAAATGCACCAGCTGTGACCAATAGTAAGTTCCTTAAGCAAATGTGTTTGAGCAATGAACAACAACTTTTGAGTAATCCCCTCTTAACAACGATAAGCTATACCACATCCATTTGAATTTTTGAGTAACAGTAAGAATTATTCAGCATTCCCAAGACAAGAGTGTGCTAATTACTCGAAGGATTTGTGCATGAAATAACCATTAAGAAATGCATACGATTAATTTTGCAGGGAATAAAATTTTAACACACAAATCACACAACTGTTTGCATGTGTGATGCATACACTTTGGTGCATTATCAGGCAAAAACACGTTTCGGTTTGATAGGTATGTGCTTTAATACCCAATGTGTGTCAGTTACACCCAATGTCCGCTGTCCGTACCGCAGTCCAGTACTGAAGAAGCTGGTGGTGGCAGCAGTGGAGGACAGGTCCCCTCCCCTCACTCCTCTCCACCCTCTATCCCACATCCCTGGTGGCCCACACCTGCTCAGTATGGACGGTCACCGCGACAGAGTCTCCTGTGTCTCCACTGTACTGGTGAAGGGAGGGGGAGTATCACAGGAGGGGATGTCCCTGGTCATTATGACTGGATCGTGGGACAAGACTCTCAAGAGCTGGGACCTGGGCACAAGTGGGGTTCTTAAGACATTTGACGGCCACTCGGACAGAGTGTTATCCCTCGCTCTCTCTGCCAATGGGACGTATGCTGTCTCGGGCTCTGATGACAAGTCTGTCAGGTATGCATTACACACACATATTGTTACTTCACCCTGTATCGTTTGTGGAAATATTCTCTTTTACCCTATGTGTTAGTATGGTATGGGCTGGGAAAATTTGTGTAAATAATGGGCTGAAACACTGGGCACACTGAAATTTTGCTCTTGTACACATGCACTCATTTATTATCCATGTACGTAGCTAGCATGTGCGCTCTAGGCACACTGTCTACTAAACCTGTTGTAGTAGTTGTGCAAGTTAGTGAGGTCATTATTCTGAAAGAGAATCGGATGGAGTCGAGCGACCTGACTGCGGCGGAGTAGCACTCAGCACGAACACGGTTTTAGAGCGCTACGTAATGCAACTCTTGGATACATATGACTCTTCTCTAGCAAAGTAACAAAAGAGGCCCTTGTTGACCCAGACCTGCGTATTTTCTATGAACAATGTTATTTAACATTCGCAGGTATTGGAGTGTGGCCAGTGCAGAGTGTGTACATGTGATGAGGGGACACACTGCGGCAGTGACAGCAGTGGCAGTGACCAGAGATGGGTCAAACACTATCTCTGCATCCTCTGATGCCACTGTCAAGGTCTGGAATACTGACTCAAACAGCAGGTCAGCCGACACTCAGTAAACAGTCATGTGCACACAGGTATGGTATGCAAGGACGAGTTACGGACAAACGGAAGATAATAACTCCTCCAGAAGGCGTAGCAAGTATTACTATTAACAGCAGGGTATGTGCGCGATACAGAAATGGACGCCAATTATGTTTGTTGCCTGCATACAGATGTTACAATCGTGTAATTTCCAACTTCCTCTTGTGCCCTGTAGTTCCCGTGGTACACTGATCTACACCCATCGAGACCTCAGAGGCCAGTGCTGGCTGCTGTTCTGAGAGGCAGTTCCCTGGCAGTTGGGACCAGCAATGGCAAGATATCCCTCTTGCACATCGTCTCAGGACAGGTGATGAGAGCAGTTCAAGGTCACGATCGAGCCGTGACAGCACTGGCTACAGAGGAAGTTGAAGGGTAAGTCCTCTAGTTTTGCTTATAGCGATGAGTCTGTTTATGACTGATGTGGTTAGGATTCCAGTTCTCATCATCCGGGTGGCCAGGGTTAGATTCCCATAATAGGAAACTCTCATCCACAATATTATTTAGTATCAAAATGCCCCATCATAAGTTTCAATGCACATCAACTAGCCTACATAAACACATTGAAAGTTGGCGCTTTCTCTCTCCCTCCCCCTATCTCTACAGGCATTGCCATCTGGTGTCAGGGTCGGCCGGTGGTGAAGTCAAGGTGCTGGATTTCAGTAACTTGACCTCCTCCATTCTCTAACCAGGGATAGTAGTGAAGGCATCAGCAGCATCAGCATTGGAACCAACTGGCAGGCTAATCGTAGCCATGGACAAAGGTTGGCAAACACTTTAGTGTTTAAAATTTAGCACTTGCCACAAAGGGCTTGACCCATTAGAGATGTACTGACTGTATTGATTCCCAGTTTGGTTTTATGCCTAGTGGTCTTAAAGCTAGGTGTGCTCACTCCTGGGGTGCATGAATCTATGAATTATCAAGACTGCTATTTCGGTACCTAATACTTGGTGACCATCATAAAGGAAACGCTGTGTATATACGTCCTCAGGAGGCTGGGATGTGGACCTGAGACTGGTACTCATCTCTACGACCTCCCACCACACTCATCCGACATATACTGCACAGTCATGGCTGACTCTGGGAGACTAGCAATCACCGGGGTCCTCCAGCCCTTCCCTGACAGTCTGGGACAGCCTCTCACCTCCCGTCCAGCACACCACACGACTCCACCCAGGGGAGGACATCTCTACTGTGGCGCTCTCTGGCTGCGGCGGCCTGGGTGTCAGCACCAGCCACACTGGAGTATCTGCGTATTTGATACGGAGGCAATGTCCCCTATTCGCGCCTACAACCTCATTCAGCAGCTGTTACACAAGTCCTTGGTGTACAAGGATGGAAACAAGTTGTTCTTCTGCCTCGAAAGATGGCACACTTTGCCTCTGGAACGGAGAAACTGGAGAGATCCTGACAAAGTTTGAAGAGAACAATAGTTCTATCAACTGTATGGCCATCACGGGTACTAAAGACCTGCTAATGACAGGGGCAGAGGATGGAGAGTGGCTTTTTGGAGCATCGAAACCGGCAGAAACTGCGGATGTTCTCGGAGCACACATCAGGTGTTCTGACGGTGGCGTTCATATCACAGAGCAAGGATCAGTTTCATGCTGTCGGCATCACATGACGGGAGCCTCAGCATTCGAGAGTTCCACTCATCCAAGTGGTAGTCTCCACACTGAGCCACAGCGACGACCTAGTCTCTACTGGTATCGCTCCCAACTCCATGTTCATGGTGAGTGGTTCCAGGACAGGTCTTGGCTACGCAGTCTCTCTCCCTCACGGGACTCTCATGGCACACTGGTAGGGCACACGGCCTCAATCACCAGCCTGAGAGTGTTCCCTGACTCCTCTCGATGTGTTACTGGATCCAGGGACCAGACTATCAGGGTCTGGACTATCGATGATGCCCGGTGTAACGCTGTACTCCACACAGATGAACCAGTCCTCGCCTGCGATGTCAACTACAACAACATTATCCTCTATGGGACCGAGGGAGGCTGGGTTTCCACCGCCGCCTACCAGTCTGATCTTAGCAAGCCCAATACACTCGTCAGTCAGCTAATATAAGGGATTCCCCCGAATTTAAGACAGGCAGCTCTTCTTCGGCAGCCCCAACTCCACCCCATAGCAGGCAGACTTATTGCCACATGATGAGAACAACAAATCGACCAATCATTTCAACTCGTCTCAAAGAACCAACCCTCACCAGTACCACAGCCAGAAGTAGATGCTACTGCAACAGAAGCAACTGACTTTGGTGGCACCTCTGGTAGAGAAAAGACTTCCCACACAGTGGAGGAGACAGGGGAGGCTGCAGGCGGTGGTGATGATGATGTCATTGATGAGGCCTCCAGGTCTGCTGGTGGCTCAGATGATGGTTCAGGAGATGGGACCGTGTCCACTGAGTCTGTGGCTCACACAGCAACAGGAAAATCCTCCACATGCACGATTCTTTAAGAGCACAGTAGACCTCTATTAACTCTTTGACATAACCATGTAAAAATAATAGCTCACACTTGACTTACATTCGACTATGATGAAACTTCTCTATGAACATATTCACAAAAGGAACGAAGTGCGTAGGATACTTGTACTCTAGTTCGGAACATACAGCAGGGCAGACATATTGGCAAATGATTAATGCACACTGTTATGCCATTTGTTACTATCCTACTACGTCCTCTCTCTAAAGTCTTTATAAACAGACGATGAAATAGTGTTTTGGACATTTAAAGTCATGTAAATCGTAGTAGTTGCAGTTCTTCAAATCTTAGCCTTTGGGCACTCCAGTTCTTGGTCATCAGGCCCTGTGGTAAAGCAACACAAGTCAACTGGGGCACTATCGCTAACGTTTCCGTATGTTCTCTGAGATTCAGGTGTAGTAATATGAAGTGCCCTGGCCTTGTTATAGTTTTGGTATTGTATTGCAATTGTTTTCCCTTGGAAAAAAAGAGCTGTCAAGGGTGTAGTGGATTTGTTTGTAGTGCCTTAGCCTTTCTACCTCTAGTTTTCACATTGCACAGTGGTAGTGCTTGCCCAGGAAGCAAAGGTTGTGGGTCCGAATCCCACTAGTAGAGTTGATTTTTCTTTCTACCTTTCTTCTAATTATGCACTCTTCACCATTCTTTCGGTCTCACCAGATGTGAGATTGGAGTGAGATGCACGGAATAATTAATCTGAGGTAGCTAACCCGGTGAAGAAAAGCTGTCCGTACCAGCACTTACAGTACCCATCCCAATATCTTTGTGTTTCAATCTTATGCTGGTCATGAATGCATGTGCATACAAACTATAATGCACAACTACTTTAGCTAGTAAGACACAAAGATGTAGGGATGGGGATGTGAATGTCTTTCTGTCTCGGTGTAGGCATCTTCTTGTTCCCTTCTTTTTCATGACGTGACATCCCTGCATCCCTTTCATTCACAGAAACACTGGTACACACTGTAAGACCACAGCTGAGGCACACAGAATCATTCCAATGTCAAGGACCATTGCATTGGTCGTGGCTTAGACTGCTGTGGTTAGATCATAAGCTACCCCCCTCCCTACACCTTACCCCCCACTCATAACCCACCGACTAGATTGAGTCAAAATAATTGTTTGGTTGGTGGGGGCGTGAGGGGGGAGGGTAGTTGATACCTCCTGCAGCAGCAGTTTAACCACAGCCAAAGACCATTACGCGTCCATGTCAGAGTATAAAAGAAACGACCCTTAGAGGAAGCGCCTACACGGCACGATCTCTTCACACACGCAAACATGATGTAGGTCTGAGGTTCAGCTGCTAGCGCAACCGCTCTTGCTCTTATTCTTACTGCAGGAGGTACGTATAGATTGCAAAATAATAGAGGTGGCTTTGATGTCATTCCTTCACGCTATGCTTTGAGGGTCAGGCACATAGTACTGTCAACCAACTGTGGGAGTTTCTGAGACAAAGTGAAATGAGAGATGCCGAAGGGAGCGGGAAGAGGCTGAAGGGATGGGTTAAGGGGACCAAAGGACGACGCAAGGTCCAAGAAGTGACCTGTGCTGTCTGCACATTAGGGAATGATGAGCAAAGTTACACTCAGACATCTAGAATAGATTTAGACTCTGAATATTGTAGAGATTACCACACACACAACACTCTCTAGACTAGAGATCAATACAGCCAGATGTTTTTGCTGTTTGAAATGCATTTTCCAGAGCAAACCAATGTCATGTTCATGGATGCACACATATGTTACATATAGTGTTATCAGCATGGAGGTGGTTGGTGCACACTCATATATAGCAGGCACTTTAGGCCTTCTGATTGTCATACTTAATCATGTCGGCAGGATGCACCTTCTCTCCAACCCATGCTCTCTCCACATACCACATTCATTATGTCGGCCCTGGCAGCTCTAGAAAGGGTTCGTAAGTCACTATGTCGCACACTTCCTCTCACTACATAGTTGCAATGTGTGTATGTATGCTACGGGTGGTAGATGTTGTGACACAGGGCTGCTATATACGTACACAACGTTTTGCGTGTCGTGTATCGCACTACCTTCCAAAATGACTCCTCCAAGTGAAGAACACATCTACACTGGAGGATTGAATGTGTTTGGCGACCCGCGAGCCCGCGAGCAGTTGTGGCTTAGACCTGCTGTGTGGTTAGATCACTGTAGGTGGTATCAGCTACTCCTAACGTACTCCCACTCACAACCCACTGCTAAGTTCAACCAACTCATTGCAGTACACATGAATATGAATGCGCATGAGTCATAGTAGTGAGTATATAATATACCGCGCTGACTGTGTGATGATGATTGATGAAGTAAACTGTAATAGCATACACAGGTGTATTGTCCCTACCTCACCTGCACACTACATCTCACACACTCCTCTCTTCCTGTGTTCTGTGTGATAACCCTACGGCACTGATGCCTAAACACATGTGAACACTGTGTGGTTACTGTCATTTTGCGATATCAATCTGCACCTCGTTTAACATTATACATGTAGGTCATGATCTGTATGATGAGGGGTGGTAAATGATGACATAGAGTATGTCACAGGATTGATTCAGGGTTCTACACAGGTGTGCAGTGTCACGATCACTAGTCGTGAGTGTAAATCCATCTCCGTAGCCGTCAATGGAACCAGGCGGCTCTACACACACATAGCGGACACTGTCTGTTCACTGACACTCGCATGACGCTCACTCCATATTATCAGAGTTAACCTTTTCCCACTGGTGATGGGTGAGCCTGGTGCTCTGTCTACCTCTGTGCAGCCGCCACCCGCCTCGTCTGGTGAGTGTATCTCTGTTTCCATAGAGACCCGGGCTCTGCATGGCAAAGAGGATGTCCTGTTACAATGAAAGCGCACCAAAGTGCAAACCTCGGCACACTAGGAATGTCGAACCTATACACATGGGTGGGTGTACACTAAATGACCTAGGGCTGGGCTATGCGTGGTCAATGTTACGCTCTTGCTAGTCTAGTACTTTACTTCGCTGCGTATGTGCAGCTCTGCACGAGGGTTAATGGGAACCACCTGAAAGTGGATATGTCTTCATCGTTATAGTCAACATTACGCCCAAGACCTCAAGCATGAAGAGTGGTAAGTCTCCAGTACTCACCCTGCCATGGGTCCCAAAACTAAGTTCTCCTCCAGTGAAACTGGTCCCAGACACACGTTGAGTGTCACCTCTGCGTTGTCAAAGTGGTAGGAAAGCTGGGTGTCTCCCTCCAGTTGGTAGGAGACACTGAAGGCCCTGTGTGAGTCCAGTCCAGATGGCCCACCCACTCTGGGTAGAGGAGGGAGGCCAGCGGTGTAAGGTAGTCCTCCCTCAGGTGGTCCAGGAAACCTCTGTCAAACCCCAGTTCTGACAGCAGGATCTGTACATACACAGTCAGCTGACAACAACTGCTTTTGCTACAAAACAGCATAATTATTATAGTTCACGACAACCTTTGATACAACCACTGTGGAACCTTTGAGTAATGGACACTTTGGGACAAGGCCTTTATTGGTATTTCTCTCTTTGGATAAATAGTCTGTGTGTGCTTTATTGAAACTTTATTCGTAGTGCCCTCATCGGAGGTTCTGACGTTCAGGAGTTTAAGTTTACAAAAACGTTATCGAACCACAGCATGCTTACATGGATCTGGTTAGGCATACCCCATAGTTGTTCATGGAGTTTGGTCTTCCTTTGGGCATCTTCGACTTGTCAAAATGCTCCAATTCTTGTAACAGAAGATCACCGAACTCTTCAGTCAGTACTGGGAACGAGTACACATTTGGCACTGCAAAAAACATACAGCACCAGTGAAATATCGACGACGGTACTAAAAATACCGACCTTCCTCCTCAGTGATTATGTCAAGGAGACCAGCAGGTGTGGCAGTATCACTCCTGCAATACTTGACAATCTCAAGAAAAACTGACCATCTAAGAACTGTTCCTGTAAAATGTAACATCGAGGTGTCATCTTGTTTCATGTGAACCCTATGCACCCACAGAGAGGGTGTATATCTGTGGATGGAGTCTCTGGTAGTGTAACTGTATGGTCTGTACTCGCAGTTTGCTCGTTTCAGAGCTCTTCCGCCTTCTCTCCACTTCACCGTGGACCTATGTAGACGTAGCAGACGGAGGGATTATCAATGAACGTGCACCACTCTCGGCAGAAAAAACCTAACACTGCACACTCTTGTAGCGACACTATCATACACAATAAGGTTTTATCACGAGACTATCAGGAGTATTGTCACACTCTGGTCTTACTTCTTTCAGCACTTCGTCGTATTCCTGGTCTGATGCACATCCTTTCTCCCTCAGCAGCTAACACAAAACGAAATGCTTGACATTAGCTACAGCAGTGAGCTCGCTCACCGCTCTGTAGTCCTCTCCGAACTGATCGTCGTCTAGGAAGACACAGTGTAGCCCGTATCGCTGTAAGAATACGTGTGAGTGAAGAAACAAGAGCACACGCAGAAAGTCTTAGCCATTAGTAAATCCCTGCCAATCAACGTACGTATAAGGTAGTGTGCGTGGGAGGCTCGCCCTGCTCTTCTGGACCGAGCTCCGCTCTGTTCGCTGTAGCGAGCGGCAGTCCTACGGTTATAAAGAAACGCAACCAGTTGTTCTCCTTCAACTTAGCCCTGATCTTTCTGCTTCTTCAAGGATGGAGCGATAGATACAAAGAAGGATATTTCTGCCAGCCCCACCCTCTTCTACTGAGTCGCCCACCGGTGCACCCACCATGCAGAAACGAGAAGACAACATGGGATGCCTGCCCTCCCTAGGAGACAGGAACCGTGTTCCTCCGAGGATCCTCCGTTTCAAGGAAGGCCCACAGCCGCCAATGGCACGACAGATGTCCAGACTTCCCGAGCTTGCGCGACGAGAGTCGGTCATCAGCACGTAACCGCAGCGAGCTCTACCAGCCGCGGGTGGTCACGTTCATGAAGAACGGAGACAAGTTCTTCGAGGGACTCAAGGTGAAACGTGTCCTCGCGGAACTTCAGACACTGGGAGGTTCTGCTTTCCGAGCTCTCTCGCTCAATCGGCCTCCCAGCTGGAGTCAGGAGCATATACACGCCGGAGACTGGTCACAGAGTCACCATCTCGACCGTTCAAGCATCAGAGAGTCTACGTGTGCGCCTCCGCCGAACCCTTCAAGAGATTGGCTACACAAGGCCAAAAACCCACCCACTTGGCACTCTGGTACGAAGGTGAAAACTGGGACGCTACTGGACCTCAGCATGAGCGTTCAGGCTGCCGGGGAGCCCCTTGCCACCTCCTCTCAAATCCAGAGAGGGGAGGCTGTCAGTATCAACTCTAGCCAAGATGTGATGTCTTTTAGAGAGCGGAAGAGGAAGACTGGGTGCACAAGAAACTCTCGTTCCCTCCTCTGCAGCAGTCCACAGAGGGAGAGAGACACACTGAAGCAAGCACGAGCCCCTCCAAGAGAAAAAGGCAGTCGTCCATCACTCAACCTGGCCTTCTGCAACCCTCTCAGTTCACCATCATCTGCAGCGGAGCACCACCCAGGAAGGTGGTGCCAGTCTTTCCTCGACCGGCAGGGTGTCTCGTCCTGGAGCAGCCCGGTCTCTCATCAGTGAGAATCTGCCTCGTGGCTACAATAGCCGAGTCCCCAAACTCTACTCTGTGGACGGAGTGGAAGTTGAGAGTCTGTCTCAGCTCTGGGCAACTAACAGAGTCTTAATAGCTGCAGACAATGGAGACTTTATACTTCACGCATTGATGGCTCCACACCACTAGGTAAGTGTATAGAGTGAATGTTGTTTGCAATACGTGTAGACTTAGAGACTGAGCTTGTCAGGACTCAAAAGCAACTATGTTTTCGTCATCTGCCTGAGGCTAAATCTAGCCACCCAATTTTTCCATTGAGGGTGGCTTGCACTGCACTCTCCAGCTACAGTCAAGGTATTTAGGATGTTTAGTTTGCCTGTCCTTCTGTTTGTGTACTCACTAAAAGTACGACAATTTACTAGGCCACCTTATCAAATCTAGGCCATCCCATTTTAACAGTAACTATTGAGGGTGGCTTGCACTGCACTCTCCTGCTATAGTCAAGGTATTTAGGATGGTTTGTTAGCCTGTCCTTCTGTTTGTGTACTCACTAAAAGTACGAAACATTTTGCCCCACCTTATACATACAAAATCTAGGCCACCCAATTTTTAACAGTAACTATGAGGGTGGCTTGCACTGCACTCTTCTGCTATAGTCAAGGCATTTAGGATGGTTTGTTAGTCTGTCTTCTGTTTATGTACTCACTAAAAGTAAAAAAAATTTGCCCACCTTATACGTCATACAAATCTAGGCCACCCAATTTTGAACAGTAACTATTGAGGGTGGCTTGCACTGCTATCTCCTGCTATAGTCAAGGTATTGAGGATGGTTTGTTGGCCTGTCCTTCTGTTTGTGTACTCACTAAAAGTACGAATAATGTAGCCCACCTTATACATACAAAATCTAGGCCACCCAATTTTTAACAGTAACTATTGAGGGTGGCTTGCACTGCACTCTCCTGCTATAGTCAACGTATTTAGGATGGTTTGTTAGCCTGTTCTTCTGTTTGTGTACTCACTAAAATTACGAAAAGTTAAGGCCACCTTATACATAGACAATCTAGGCCATCCCATTTTTAACAGTAACTATTGAGGGTAGCTTGCACTGCACTCTCCTGCTATAGTCAAGGTATTTAGGATGGTTTGTTAGCCTGTCCTTCTGTTTGTGTACTCATTAAAATTACGAAAAGTTAAGGCCACCTTATACATAGACAATCTAGGCCATCCCATTTTTAACAGTAACTATTGAGGGTGGCTTGCACTGCACTCTCCAGCTATAGTCAAGGTATTTAGGATGTTTTGGTTGCCTGTCCTTCCCTTTGTGTACTCACTAAAAGTACGAAATATTTAGGCCACCTTACTGGCTTTGGTCTATTCAAACAACCTCTTGGCAGCTGCTGCATTAGGTCGATAGATCACGATAAAACGATTGAATTTGTTTATCAGTTTTGTTGACTAAAAGCTTTGGTGGAGCATCTTTTGTGAAAAGTGTTTTATGAAAGTGGGTCTGCTGGTGTGCGTGCATCATGTTAACTAGAGTGTTTGTGAAAAACATTTCGCCAATTTCATTCCTGTCACCATACAGTAGGGGGTTAGTTTCTAAAGGCTCGGTTTGCAGGACCTGCAAGTACTTGTGTGTGGCAATAGTGATTAAAATCCTGGCATTTCCTTTCGTGTTTGTAAACAGTCTGTTTGCGTAGTTGCAAAGTAGCACGAGGATGTCAGTAAAAAGGAATCCAATTGCCTATATTTGTCTGAGCAATGAAACTCTGTTAGATACAACCAATACATTATTCATAGCCAGTGCTATTCAGTGAATATTATACCTTTAGACTGTTTTGCATAGCATGAAGAATGCTCAGACTGTGTATGCACTCAGAGGTAAATGAAAAACACGTCTCGCTGCACAGGCGTGGGTGTTTGGGCCAGCCAGCAGATGATCACGAGCAACAAATACGGAAGGAGAGAAAACCGGAGCAGGAGATGAGCAAGCGGACCACAGGCCTAGTGGTCTTCCGACACAACCAAGGGGCACGTAGTACAGGAACTGAAGCAAGGAGAAGAGATACAGACATATTCTCCAAGTGAAAGGGTCAATGAGGACACCAACACTGCTTCAGAGGAGGAGGAGGGGAGGAGGGAGAGGGAGAGAGAGAGAGGAGGGGGAGGGAAACGGAGTCTGGAGGGAAAGAGCAGAGAGTGTGCAGCAAGATCGACATCTCAGAAACAAACATGTCAACATAGTCTCTACGCCAGGGTGCTCCAGTCCAGCAGCAGAGCCTGGACCTTCGACTTGGCTCCTGGGAAATGGAGAGGCTGAGGTCAACCAACCAATTCACTACTCACTCTGACAGAAGAAGACGGCTCATTCCTGGGCTCAGGCTCTCCACTAACCGTGACAGAGTGGCTGCCGTACAGCACCTCCACAGACTGGCCCTACAGTATGATATTGACGCATGAGCACATCAGGATCTGACAGCTCCACCAACATCAGACTCCATGCCTCAAGTAAGAGAGTAATCTCGCGGGGCATACGTATTTACTTATTGTGCAGGGCCCTGCACGATAAGAGTAATGGCTTGGGAGACTATATAGTAGCAGAGAGAGTCACACACACAACATTTTGCTCTCCACGTGTTCACTCCATTCCAGGGCCATCTGTACTGTGTCCACAGACTCCCCAGAGCAACATCTCATTCAGCCAGCCTCGCTCCCTTGTGGAGATGATAATGCCGAGAGAGGTCAGCTCTCCACACAACACACAAATAGCCCCGTATTCCCATTATGATCTTCTGAACAGAAGTGTGAAGGTAGTATGGACTCTGTGTCTTCGTCATCGAGAAACAGTTCTCAGCCACCAAAGTCAAGGACAGTTGGGATACAGAACTGAATGTATGTTCCCCATAGTCTCGATGCAAATTGTGAGAATGGCTGCCTCCTCTCTATATGCAGTGGTAGGGGACAAACTATCAGACTATCATTGAAGAAGTTGAACAGGTTTGTGTATGATAGTTGTCTCTATATGACTTACGACTCACACAAGCTCTCTCTTATTTTTGTATTTTCAGCCATCTCACCTGGAATGAGCCAACAGAAAGAGAAGGTATATTATAATACGCACCCACACTGGTTGCAAGAGAGCTAAACTTTACTTCTTTCCAGGGCCACCCATCCGCTGTTTCACACACAGACCAGTGTCACAGCCGGCCAGTCTCAGAGGGAGAGCTACAGAGTGGGTCCAGTGGTGGCGGAGGGGAGGTCTGTGGTAGTGAGGGACTGCCACCACAAGGTGACTGGACAGCAGTACTCCCTGAGAGTCATCAACAAGGGCCGGGGTGTTTGGGCACGAGGACCTGGTTATGAGGGAATGCGAGCTGCTGCGAGGTCTGAAGCACGACAACCTGGTCCGGATGGTTGATGGGTGGGAGAGCTGCGATGAAATCTGCATGGTCGCAGAGCACGTAGAGGTAGGTTTGGAAAACCCCTAGTAATTATGTGTGGCACACTCAGCCTTGCGTGTGATTATTCTTATCTCTTTTTTCTAATCATCTCTTCCCCTGACTCTCCCAAATCTTCCACGTGCATGCACTCCTTACGTGATAGAACAGATGCTACATCTCCCCCCTCCCCCCTCTCTCTGCTCCCCTCTCTCCCTTTGTTTTTTCCCCCTCTCCATCTCCTCAGGGCACTGACCTATTTGATGCTGTCCTGCACTGTCGGCACTTCTGTGAGTCTGACGCAACTATCGCCATTAGGCAGCTGAGCATGGCCCTGGTCTACCTCCATGCCCACAAGATAGTACACAGAGATGTCAAACTGGAGAACATCTTTGTGAGTTTGAGTATGTGGGGAGTATTCAACTATAATTAAGTCACATAGCTACGTAGATTATGGTAAAGCTACATAGATGCTCAAAAAGCTCTCAATTACCTCCACCCTCCACACAGCTGCACCAGGCAGGAGAGGGGAGGTGGAATTTGAAGTTGGGAGGAATGGGATTGGCTGCTACTGCCTCTGAACCTCTTTCTCTCGTCTGTGGCAATATATTCTACATGGCTCCCGAGATGATCGCCGAGACTGGGTTAGTAGCTATGACGTCACATATTATGGTTGTTTTTGTTCATGAAGACTGGGGTTGTGATTTTTACTGTGCACAGTTATGGTACCAAGCTGGACGTATGGGCTGCTGGTGTTGTATGCTGCACTCTTCTCTCTGGAATTATGCCATTTGGAGGTAATGAGTGTGCATGGCCACACACTATGTAACTATTGAGGTTCTCATTCTATTCTACAGTAACAGTAAGAGAGGAGCTACAGTGTCCAACATCCAGAAGGGTAGGTATGCCTTCCTCTCTCCATTCTGGGACAATGTCTCGGATAAAGCCAGGTATGCACAGTTACGAAACACTGACATAGTTATGATTGCATATACTTTCTGGTGTCCAGGACTTTGTGTGTCATCTGCTGGTGGTATCTCCATGCCAGCGGTACATGGCCACACAGATGCTCCAGCACCCCTGGCTGGTAAGTCCACTCAACTGTGGGCGTATTCACACATCGTATACTGCAGAAGTAACCTTCAAGGGAAAATATTTCGCTTTGCGGATTACTACTCCACAATGCAAATGTTCCTGCTCTAAAAGTGTGTAATTCTGAACACTTTTCCCTTAAAACTTCCCCTGTATGGTCTATGTGGCATGTTTTGGGTTCACTAAGACACAAGTGTTAATGCAGGAGGAGAGGTGGGAGGAGACGTGTGGTCAGAGGGATTCAGAGCTGAGCAGAGTTCTCATGGAACACCTGGTCACCAGGTCTGCCACTGCCAGGAACGCTGCACTCCCTACACTTGTTGTGAGTCTTTTCCTCATACCAATTGTCACATATATACATGCTCTCTCTCTCTGATCTATTATGTCTAAAACGCTTCACATGTTAGTGATGATATATGACACTCGATCACTGTGCAGGAGACGGCTTTGGACAAGAGGAAAAGCCTGCCAAACATGAACCTACTCAGAAGGACCTCATTTAAGACCCACAAGTCATCATAACTCATAATGCTACTGCTGCTCAATCATTTTTTTTGACACTCATAATAGTATATTATAGCACGAAACAATCACTTCTAAATGACCGATATGAAAATTTGCTGTACATACATGCACGTTATAAGTGTCCACACACCTAGTTAGTTGATAAGTAAAGTTTGAAAACAATATGGCTCACTGAGAGTTAAGAGTGGCCGTAATGATGATATCGTTTCTTGTGATGTAATTATATATATTCCACTCCATCTTCACTATCTGTAGTAGTAGCTGTGGCATTGTAGGCCACATTACACTCCACCTCATTTCGACCCACATAACCATAGGCCACATTCTGCGTCATGTCTTCCCCCAATGTTGCTCTATTTGTCTTCATTAACCACACCTCCACTGCTGATGGTAGGGGTGTGTGATTGGTGGGTGGAGACATATTCAGACTTCTCAGCTAAGGTCCCGGATTTGGTCATTGATAGCTGACCACTGGCTGAGTTATAGGCCACAGAATCGGTTGTGTTCGATAGCCTCTTCTTTGACCTTCGTCTTAAAAACACTGTCACAGAAGAGAGCTGTAGTAGCTATTATCACCACCACTATAATTGCAGCAACTCCTACACCCACTCCAAAGACACCTCGAGAAACACTGCCACCTCTCTTCGCAGAGTCTAAGACTGTTGTCCTAATGGAGGAGATGGGTTCTGTTTGTGTGATCTGATGGCAGAGTGTGGCTCTCTTGCAGTTGTTGGACTGGTCGAGTGTTGCCTGCTTCTTCCTCCAGGTGTTTGTGATTTTAGCAGTTGAAAGTGACAAGGTTTTGTTTGACATAGTGTTCTTGGATCTTGTTTGAGGTGGAAAAGTTTGGAAGTTTCCTGTGCTCCACAACACGTTGTATGCTCAACTGTAGAAAAGATACATTATGTCACGTAGCTACAAGAATCACGGGGTGTAAACACAAGGCAAGCATGTATCAAACAGGTGGTACTCGAATGCACGACACTGTTCTCTAGATGAGTGCTTGCTCTATCACTGAGCTACCAGGACAGCCCAGCAGACTGGGTTCAAGGTCCGCAATGAAAAGGAACCAAACTCTGTGCTATGGCACAGACAAAACAACACATTAGAATATTGGAAAAGCTAACCAATCTTAACTGTCACAAGAGGTATGTTAATCAGTGTTGTAACAGCTTCTCCCTGGACATTAAAGAACTCATTGTTGTCATCCGAAACGGTAGCATAATTGGGAGAGTGACCCCCATCATCGTAACTGATTTGTAGTCTACTGTCACCCCCAGAAGGCTGGATGATTCCCAGGATATCACCTGGCTGGAACTGAAGAGGAGGGGCTACAGGAAACTCATACACACCACCCCCCTCTTGCTGACTAACAGATATAACACTACTGCCCTGCTTTTCAAATGTACTGTTTCCCTGAGGATCTCCAGACTTGAAGCTCTGGAAAGAGCGAACCGTTATAACTGTTCCATCTCCCTGCCAGTATCCACTTTACTACTTCTCCAGTACATCTGAATCTGATACTGGGAAATATCACCTGTTGATCGCTGAAGTCCCTCCTGAGCCCATTCAGTGGTGGTATACCTAGTAGAGCATATAGTCTCTCTACTGACATGAAGCCGCAACCACAATCAGGAGGATCTGCAATGAATAACACTGGATGAAAACTATATATATACCACAGCAGTTTTGTAGCTATATACCTGTGCTCACAGCAATTAAAGGGTATCTGGTGCTATCGAATACATCTCCGTCATCAATAGAAAAACTCTCCGGTTGAGGAGAATTATTGTTCCGTGGCCTGGTGTAGTATGTGATGAGTCTCTCAGAATCTTCCAGAAGAATATCAATAGAAGACCTTCTTGGTTGAAAAAAACAAGAACATCTCCCTCCTGGAAATCTAGTAAAGTCTCCACCTCATAGACTTGACTGGCGTTTTCTCCACTATAAAGACACTGGTACCGATCACCTTCATGTACTGGTTTGGATTAATCTTCCTCCATATCTGTAGCTCAGTGTTGAAGGCCATATTATTATTGTTCCTTCCTTCCCACTGTGCACCAACTATCCACCGTGTGATGGCTCCATTGCAGCCGAAGTTTATGTCTGGAATCACGACCTGTCTTCTGTCGTTGTCGTTTGTGTCTAGGTTGCCAATGTTGCCTGCCAGTCGGTCAATGTGGAGAGAGTGGGGAAACCGTCAGCGCAGTCTGACACTTCTCCCACCCCATATTCCTCACAACAATAGATACCTGGGTGATAGGTAGCAAGTAATTTCGTTTCAAGACATTTATGCTGGTCTGTTTTTCGCTACACAAACATACTATAATTAGCAATGCAAGTGAATGTGAGTAGCTATAATATAGTTCAATTTCTTACCAATTATGAGTGCAAAGAAGAGCAGAAGACATAAACGTTAGACATCTTTCCAAGTGACTCTCTTTGAGGATAGAACTGAGCATTGCCTCACTATTTCCGCATTTCCTTGTCAACATAGTAATCCAATTTTCATTTTCACCCGCTAGAACCTGCTGAGAGTTTGGCTAACTAGGGGGATACGTGAGTATGGTGTCCTTGCACCTAAACCCACTATATACTCTTGTTACCCTCAATAAGGTTTTGACAAATTTTTCCGGCACGTGAGTAAATAAAATAATGGCAGAGTAAACCCATTGAAAATAGTCAGAGGGTGGAATAGCGTGTTAGAATATGCCCTGTGACCTCATTGTTGACATGTTTAAATCGTGCACACACGGCCATTGCTATTGTACAGTGGGAAGTGGGGCGACTACCTGTAAACAGTTCACTCTTAAGAGCCAGCCGCACGACTGACGTTAATGTAATGGTGCAAAAAATACAATTTGACCCTAATTACATACACACTTTCAGCCAGACGGCCACAATAATAACAACAACAGAAAAAGGAAACTGAGATAAATACTACACAATACAGAACCGCTGAGTGATTCCAGGTAGAGGACGAGATAAAAAGCCGCTGAGCACAAGAGATATAATCGATAAACACACGCACACAAAGTGACGGCGACACATGCTCACACATAGAAAGCAAATCCAAAAAAACCACCAGATTTTCAATCTAAAGGGACGGGAGGGAGGAGAGGGGAAAACAACAGCGCGAGTGTTGTTCATTTGCAGATGACGTCAGTGACCCTGCTGGCTGCCACTGGCAGTGGGCGAGGCAGATGCGATCACTCTCCGATGGCGTTCCCCGTACCGAGGGAGACTGGTCGTTGGACTGCGAACTCCAGCGGCCGAACCCCCGAGTTGCGATGGGCGGTCGAGGGAAGTCGGGTGTCTCTGAGCTGAGTCTAGAGCGCGAAGACTGGACAACGTCTTGAGTTCCTGCCTGGGTCTTGGGCTACTCCTGCGCTCAAACTTCTGTCTCAGCTCCAAGACGCTGGCCAGGTCGTTGTCCGGAGCTCTTCCCTGGGGATTCCCCACCCAGGCGTTAACACGGGGCCCGCTCTGGACGCACTTGCCGCTGTGCGAGTCCTGCGTTCTCGTCGCTCGCTACTGGAGAAGATATCGCTGGCAGTGTTCCGTCGTCCATCCTCTGCCTTTCCCTCCCTCATGTCTGCTTCTCATGTTGGAAAAAGTTCCACGATGCGTCTGAAAGGCTGAAGACAAACCAGCGCTGCCGAAACTCCCTCCGTCCAGCTCCCTGGTGAAGAGGTGGTCGAGGTCTCTGAGTCACTGGGGTCTTCACCTCCACCACCCCCACATAGGGAGAGTAAAAGATGATCTCGCTCTGCGGCCTCTGCCCGCTCTGAACCAGCGACCGTTTGACGACGCCATCACACGAGGAGGCTCTGCCTGGGCTCCAGTCGAGGCCTGTCCCGACCCCTTCTTACCTCGATGTTCTGGATTTTGGCCTTGACCACCCCGTGAAGTGATGTGGGGAGGGCTGGGTCTGCGGGGTGCGAGGGAGGAGGAGGGGAAAGAGCCTGTGTCAGTGTTGGGAGAAGGGACTGAGGACGGGAGAGAGAAGCTGGTTTGGACGGAGAGATGGGGAGAAGATGACCGACACGGCGACAAGAGACGGTCTGGGGCTGAGTGAGGAGTGTCGTGGTATCGAGTCTGCGGTCACTCTGGAAGAACTGGTCAAGGGGACGTGTTGCAGAGTGGATGACTTGCCTCTGTCCCCAGTGCCTGCGTCAGTAAACGGAGAGGCAAGACACTCTTCGGACGATGACTGGCTGTTTGAGGAAGTGGCTGAAAGAGGCTGGGAGTCGGCCTGAGGGACGATGGACTGGAGCGACTGCGTGCTCGTCACCTGAAGACCCTTCTCCTCTATCTCCTTCACTCTCTCCGGGACGCTCGATATCTGCGTCGTCTTGATCGGTCCCGAAACGTCGTGGTGCGAGTCTGACTTGCTTCGTCGGTGGTGGATGAATTTTTCCCTAGTGCGAGGTGTCATATTCCCCAGAGGATAGTCTCCACGTCTCTCCACTGCCTCTAGTGTCTCCTCCTCCGACTGGACTTCGCGAAGGTCTCCCTGCAGTGGTGTTCCTGTAGACGGAGACGCTTGTCTCCTTCTCACCTCCCCCTCTTCCGCATCCTCTGGTGTGACGGCCGCTGGGCTCTGTCGAATGAATCCAGACACCCTTAGCCCCCTGCCGTTAGTCGTGACAAGCTAGTCAGCTCTTGGCAGCAGCAGCAGTAGCAGCGGTAGTAGTAGAACTGCCTTCAGCCCGGAACACGTACCCACTGAGTCCATAGGGGAGACTGTATGAGCGATGGCTGTGGCTAACGGGACTATTGATGACCTCTGCATATTCCACTGGTTGTTCTCTACCACTGGAGGGACTGATGTTGTAGGTTGGTGGGTTAGGTGACAGTCTTGGAGAAGAGGAGGACGAGGGAGGAAGGGGCTGGGGTTCACTTATCTCTGTCATACGATCCTTTGTCTGCCACCCTCCCTCTATCATCTGTTGTAGTGTCTCGGACGATTCCAATGCCGAGTCCCGCCTCCCTGCGACCTCTTGCTCCCTGTGCTGGGCGGCCATGTGCATGTGAATGCTCTCCTCGTCGGGAGGGGTGTATATGGGACTGGGTAGGCCGACCCGGAGTTAGACGTGGGGATGTTGTCCCCGATACCGTCGTCCGTACTCCCAATCACCACAGGCAGGGAGGCGAGGAAGTGTTGGAGATTTCTCGACTTGTCGACGGGCGTCGAGTGAATGAGCGTGCCTCTCTCGGGGAGGGACCCGGCGCCACCAAGGATCCCACTGTTCCCGCTGGTGTCCTGCTGGCTCAGTTGGACCCCGGTAACCTCACCTTCGGCCAGGAAGGTTAGTTCGGGCTCATCGACAGCCGTCTGCTGCTGCAGAATGAGGTGGGGGATGTTGAGGCACTCGCTACGTTGTGGATTGGACGAAACGAGCTCTCCCCGCTGTCCTCCCCCTCCCACTCCTCCCCCATCCCTCCCTCCGCCCCACGCTCCTCTGCCCGCTTCTGGAGACCACGTCTCTCCAGCTCTCCTTCTCCAGCGACTGCATGATGTCCGGGTCCGAGACGGAGCGTTTGGAGTAGAGTCGGGTGGGGGCGTATTTACCCCAGCGAGGGTTGTGTCTGCAGGGAGACAGGGGGGAACAGTCAAGATCAATGTTACACGCATAAACACTGAAGCTCACAAGATACAGTATACACATGAGTAAACGAAGAAAAGAAAAGAGGAAGTAACAAAAACACATGAGTGGAAAATTGTGGTGGAAGGAATCTTTGTATGTGTCAACAACGAGGTATCGCGGTAGAAAGGGCAAGGCAAAGCAAGACAACCCCTCAAATATGGTTTAGCTGCGTATGTATTCATCGGGGCATCATGAAAAATGTAGATGTGACCTGCCAGGCCTGTGTGGGTGAGACAGATACAAACCTGGCAGTGAGGATTCCCTCGTAGGAGTGGAGCTGACTCATGAAACCATCGTTGGGGTTGATGCAACCACGAATGCTCTTGACGTGTTTCTTGCATCTGCCAGTGGCATCTGATTACTCCTTCATCATGTACGCTATCACCTGCACCCCCCACACAGACAAACAGATTGATTAGTTAACTCGGCCTCCTACGTATATTACCACAATGTTTGCTCTCAACAGAGCAATGTATAGGATATCTACGATCAACAGAGCAATATATAGGATATCTACGATCAACAGAGCGCACAATTTATAAAGAACGCAAGTCAAAGACTGGAACTTGTATAGTACGTGCATTTCGGGCACACACATCTCCATTTGCGCATTTTTACACATGATTTTCTGTATTAGATTCCGGTACACATATATACATAGGCTGAGAATGAATGAAGGAATAGCAGGTGACTTACGGTGGCAGAAGATCTGCTGATTCCCATCTTGCAGTGAACAAGCAACTTTGGTGTCCTCATTCTGCATTAGGTTACAACACACAACTGACACAACAGTAGCTCATTACACACATCGTAAAAAACCACAGGCTACTGCTGCGCACAGAGCTAGCCTATTGCTGGCGAGACAATCAACACCCTAACAACAGATCAAAACAGCAAATTTGCTATGTACATGTATGTGGGGTCAAAGTATCCATTGGGAAGCGGGGCAAATGAAAATATAGGGGGACTATCTCCCCATGGTGCGCACTTGTGCCAGCCCTGATGAGCAACTACCACCTGTGGCAATTGTGAGTCATTAGAACGCAACATTTCCAACATGACAGAGAACAGGTGGGTTAATGGCACATGCATTGGCAGTCGGTTTGCGCGAAAACAACATACGTACTTGCTTCTTTGATGAATCTGTAGGTTTTCTCCCAGTGTTTGATCAGCTCACTGTCAGGAACGTCGTACAACCTGCACACGTCACACACACACACCACACACACACTCCAGTCAAACACAGAATATTTGAGTTGAAAGAACGACAACGAAAGAAGAAGAGGCGAACAAAGCACAAAACCCAAATCACACACAATGACGTACTCCAGTATTCCCCATGTGATTCCAAGTTTTAGTAGCTCATCCTTATACATAGCACACACACACACACAATACAAACCTGATGTTGAGGTACTTGAAGACCTCGGGATAAAAGTTGTCAATCTCTCTCGTCACGTTCAGGATGTATCCAACCCTGGAGAACATATTATAATAATAGTCGCCTACGTACACACTGTATTACAAATACATGTAATATACTTATGTAGTTTGTCTCAGACTCACCCAAAGGCTTCGAGCTCACTGAGGTTAGAAGCATCCACTCTGAACCCTGTGCGGACACACACACACACACAGTCATTAGGCAGTGGCAGCAGCAATATTTAACACACAGCAGGGCCTTATGAAGCTTACACACAGGCATGCGCTGACACACACCTGGCAGGGGATCGTGCTCCGTGGAATGGGCCCTGCAACACACACGTCACATGCAGACGCACACGTACATGTATGGACATCAATCACATGCACAGGTATATAATGTACGTACAATAGGAGATGTGTAAAGTTATTCATGGTCTGCTAGCTCGAGTCCCTATGTGGAAAAACCATAGACTATTACTGTGCACAGAGCCTATTGGCTTTTTTCGGCCAAATCTTCAATAACCCCACCCTGACAGATACATGCACACTACAACACCAGACACTGCTAAGCTTTTCCACTATCATCATTCCCCTCCTCTTTTTCTCTTCCTTTCCTTCTTTCCCTCCCTCTCCCTCTCTTTCCACCTCCAGTCCTCCGCTCGCCTCTCACACCTCCTTCCCTCTTCCTCTCCCCCCTCTCCTTCTCTTTCCATCTCCTCCCTCCCTCTTTTCCTCCCTCCCCCACACACCAGGTAGAGGTAATCCAGGATCTTGGATGGCTGTTCGAGCTGTCCAGGATCCTCAACATGTGTCTGTCGAGAAACTCGCGGTACTCGGTCAACCCCATGTCCATCTCCTTCTCCAGCTTCTCTCTCAGTTGGCGACTTGTCACCTCCTCGAGGTCTTCGTGGAGCATCACTCCACGTAGTTTGGACACGAGCTGCTTCTCAAACACATTGCCAGCTCTGTGGGGGGAGTGAAGGAATATGTACATGAAGGAAGTATGGAGAGAGAGGGGGGGAGAGGAATGAGGGGTAAAGGAGGATGGGAGAAAAGAGTGGGTGGGAGTGGTAGACGGGAAGAAGAGAGAGAGAGAGGAAAGGGGAGACAAGAAGACATACGCAGAGCGAATGTACATATGAGGTTAGAGCCTCTACTAGATAAGAGTGGAACACAACAGAGGGAGATGGAGAGCGGTCAAGATCAATGTTCAGGTTATTAAATGAGGATGTGAAGGAAAGGACAGCTGGGGGAGGAGATGGAGAGGGAAGGCAACGTACTTGGTGGATGATATGTTGGAGGAGTATATGAGAGAGTCTGGTCTGAACGACTCCACATCCTTCAACAGATTCCTGCATCAGGGACACAGCACAATATCATATACACTGTCTGAGGCATAATACAATGCCAGAGGGCACTTATGCTGTCCATCTAGAATTTTATGGGATGTCACAAGCATTTCAACCTCTGGAAGCCCACCGATATCTGAACTAAAGAACTCTGAAGAGCCTCAGTTGGATTATGTCTAGACCAGCTACAGATTGAAATCTGGAGAAAGGGTAACTGTATGCACGTACGTACCACTCATTGCGGATGAGGCAGTCGTCGGTGAGCTGCGCGAGGTAGAAGCTCATCCAGGTGTGGGACAGACCACCCACGTAGTAGTTGTTGACTCGTGCGTTCTCCGTCGACTGGTACAGGCTCTGCAGCGTCGTCCTGCAATGAAGGAGAGGGAGTGTTAGCATTCTAGTATATCTCCATCTATGCACGAGGCATGTGGAAAGTGTAGGAGTGAGCACTCATGAAAAAACAGTGGTTTTTCTTTGACAATGATGTGAGAAACATGGCAGTAACCCAGCACACATCTGCTGCAGTACGCCCCGTGTTTCCAGTGCACTGACCACCTTAGAGACATTGAAATTTGCAGGGCTATATTATTATGATAAGAGTTTAGGGCTGGGTATGTCTGTCGCATCGCCCCATCGCGTTGTGCTGCATCGCGTTGTTCCGCGGAGATTAGAAACTATCCTCTCGATGCAGCAAAGCGGCAAGGTGCGACAGGAGGGTTTACACCTTAGTGCAGTGTTTTTCGTGTATGTACACAGACAAGTGCAAAGTGTTGGATCACAGCATCAATAGTCTAGGACAGACTATACAAGCATACGTGTATGTATCACCATGAGTTCAAACAGGCCTTTCTCTAGACCTTGGTATGTATGTAGTTATGTCTTCAAAGCACTCAGACTAGGACACCCCACTTTATCTTACAAAGTGGCCCTACTGTTTATCCTACAATACACATATAATGTCTCTGACAGGAGCTGTAGTTGTGTCTCATCTCTACCAGATGGTAGCCATGTTCACTGAAGACTTGTATACAATTTGTATGTAGGACAAACAAGCATTAGATCAGTATCCTCCTCATACAGAATTACAAAAGCTAACACTCTCAACTACATGTACCATAGGAAAGACAGAAGGGGGGAGAGGAAGGAGACAGAAGGGGGGAGAGGAAGGAAGGGAGGATAGGAAGGAGAACAAGCCAAAAAGGCTGCCACAGTGAACATTAAGGGAGAGTGGATCCCTTGGCCAAATGGAGGAACTTAAATATATTGCGTTCCCAGTGTATAACTGCTATTAGGAGACCAGATGGTAGCCATGTTCACTAATGACTTGACAAATTAGAGGAGGTCTCCCGTTACAGAGAGATGAGACACAACTACAGCTCCTCTCAAGTGCATGCCAGTTACAGTCACGTCTCTCAGCTACACAGTGCCACGTCACTTAAGGTGCCCACCACACAGCACCTTACACTACCACACAGCATACTACAGTATAAGTGTTATAATTCTCAGAAAGGAGCTAATGTGGAGTTTTGGACGCCACGAAAGTCCGTCCCACCATACCCAGAATGTTGGCGACTTGTCTAGCACACTATTACAAGGCAACGGTGAGAGGCAAAAACAGGCTTTGGACGGAGGACACCGTTTAGCCTATAGTACCACCTACACAACTGGTGCATGAATTTCTGGGTGTAAATGTTATGAAGGAAAGTGCCAAACACTTGAAAAGAAGCTGCCCTGGGTGTGACTCAAACCCTGCTCTCTAGAGAGAGAGAGAGAGAGAGAGAGTGCTCTACCACGTAGCTGTATATCTGTATGTAACACGCTCTTTGGTGGTAACACTGAGAGCATTCAGGGAATCTGGTAATTAATGAGCTTTGGTCCTTTGTATCTGTGACAACTTTGTGGGAATCTTCTCAGAACAACAGAGAGTTGGAATGCAGTAATGCTCCCTATAATGAATGTACAGTATGTAAAAGTGTGGCATCGTAATAAGAGATATTGACGTGTTCTCTGTGGGATGGAGGATCCCAGGATCATTAGTACGCACTGTAACTACCAGTGGGTATCACTGGGAGAGGTGGAATGCTACTACCACCACAGTCAGCTGTGTACTACATGTACCACTACCTATATACCATCCAGCCACCAACAGCATTCAATACACAGAGGGAGGAGTATGTAGTTCATAATTGTGTTACATGCTCCATGCAGTAAACAAAGGAACAGCTGACTTATTATGTAAAGGCACACTTCACTTCATGTCTGTGTATATAAACTGCAGAATCTTTTCTTTTCAGATGGTGACAACAACACCCTACCAAGAGGTTGCAACACACATGTTGAGACACTCGTCTCTACTGCACTATTAGAACAGAGCATAAGCAACAGACTAAGTGGTGACAGTATAAAACTAGGTAATAAACTGCTACCGTACTTGAGAGTGGCGATAATAGTTTCCAAAATTAAATGGCTGCCAAGTGCTTGCACCCGTGCTCGTACAGCAAGCAGTGCATAAATACAGTACACTGGTAGATATGATAGCACAAGAGCAACAATTAGCTACAACACAGGGCAATTGGCAGAGTGTCTGGCTCACCACATGCTCTGTACAGAGGACGGCTTGAAGACTGCCTGATTGATCTCCACTGTGCACTATGAACCCTCTGGAGAAAGAAGAAGAAAGACAAATGAAAATAAACGCACAGTGACGATGACGTGTGATGAATGGTGATTGATTCCAAAAGGGTACAGAATTGAACTGTATATGTACACTGTACATTGGTATATAGAATACTCCATTAGGGTAATGACTGAAAAGACTGTGTCACGTCACTTACCCATCCCCATCCAACTTGATCTCGTGTCTCTCCACAGTGGCAGCACCAGACCTACTCTCACACTGGGAGATAGTGAGTGTGTGTGTGTGAGTGTGTATGTGAGGTAGTGTGTGTGAGTGTGTGTGAGGGGTGCGTGGTGGGAGACAAAGTCGGCAAGCATTAGTACAGCACACTCAGAGCAGTCCAGCCCTTAGTGCCAACAGCAAAAGGTTGCACATTACAGTAGGAACCATTAGCAGGCTAAGTGAGTAAAGGTGGCCATCCGCACAGCTATCCCCTCGACACTGACTCCTCCAGACATTGCTATATCACACGGTAAGTGGCCTCGAGTCATCAGCAGCTGCCCCATCTCACCCCATCGTCCCCTCCCTTCCCCTCCACCTCCTCCCACATACACTACTACACACACACACTTTAACAGGGATGTATATAGCACTAAGCCCACAGTGAATTTGGGCCAATAAATACACAGATCCGGTTGGTAATTGTGTAAACGAGAGGGAAGTCTCCCCACACATTATCGTCATCGCAGTGTTTCCCCACCTCAATGCTTTGAACTGGCTCAAAAATGCAATAACGCTGTGACCAACGCACAACTACAGAGAGCTCTTAGGAGCATGATTTTACCATGTGCCTGCCTGCATTCTACCCATAGTATTTCACTGGTGGTTTGGCATGATATCCAGTGAGTGTATAGCATTGAACACAGACATCATCATGCACTGTTGGATCAACTTGACATACAAGCTGAACCATCAAGCCCATTTCAGACCTGCTTCCCACAGACACCACCGGTAGACCAGTATATTGATTGGGTTTCGCCTTTTGATCAAATGTACACAAAGTGGTACTGCATGTGTATATTATGTATAATTATGACTGTGGTGCAACTCTCTATACCGTAGCTCTGCAGCCACTACAACTATTGTTCAACCTCCTACTCGTTACTAGCTCAAAGCTCGACAGCTGCCTTTCTCAGACAAGCCATGGGAAACACAACAATACCGTACGAAACTTGGAGTATAATAGGCATTTGTGGGCCGGGATATTGTGTCGACTGCACTGTCCTTGCCTGTTACAAAGTTACGACTGTTACCAAAGTGCTGCCCAGTATAGTGTGAAACAGAGGCTTTATTAGCTTCAATTTGTGAGCACAATATTAACTCCTCAGCCCCAAAATTTGTCCATCCCAGCGTAGGCCTACGCAGTCTTCCTAGGACGGACCAAACAAAATGTTTACCCTGACCACATCACCACTGTTTGCAAGAGTGGCCCAAGTCACAAATGTAGCATCCATAACTATAAGCGTCTGCAGTAATTCTCTTGCATGTTCCCATTGCAATCTGAACAATTATGTGAGTGGTGTTGAGTAGCTCTATGTGTCTGCCAACGTTTGAAAAAGTGTGTATAAGTTTTTTTAATGGGATTTTGGCCCTTTGCCTTGGAGCATTTAGCAGCTCAGTTTTCAGAGAGAGGGTCAGGAATGTACAGCGTAGCCAACTCACATGCTGTCTTCCTGCTCGGTCCCGAGGACAATGGCCTCCTCGGTGTCCTGGTAGCCGTTGGTGGCCACCAACACCAGGTGCTTGGTCACCTTCCGTGGCCACGAGTTCTGCAACTCTACTGCCTGCAGATGTAGACCACACACACCACTATAACACAACTACACTGTGACTTATACCTTACGACATACGTATTAGCCCTGAGTTTCTTTTTCAATCATGGAGTGCAGCGAAAATTCATCGGGCTTTAATTGTCGGTACGACCCAAAAGAGATAAAATATTGCGGATGGCTGACATACATGTACATAGCTTGAAATATTTGCACAGGTTTTCTCCCTTCAAACGTTAGGTTATGTGGCTATTTGTAAAATGCACCCTTCCAAACTCTGGCATTTCTGAGACGGCTATTCAGTCCATAATCAAACAGACATTATGCAACAAACAATCAGATCTTTTACTGAAGGTGAGAACAGCTGTAGTAACGGACAAGTACAGCACACTACATGGCACAACAGATACAGTCAGTCTATATAAGGAGACTCAGATTCATGGAAATGCACTGGACATTCTTCCTCCATCATTTACCACGTCTACGACAGTTGTATACACACTGTGATTGAGGTGTAGACTCCAGACTATTGGTTCATGCAATGCCATGCCATGAAGGCTATATAATACCGCAGCTAGTGACATCAGAACCCTGCAATTCCAGTGAATATGCACAGGATATTGGACAAAAAGGACCCGCCTGTAACATAGTCCTTTGGATGGCTGCAGTAAGATGGTGGCTGAAGTAAGATGAGTAGGACAAGGAAACACTCCTCTTGGTAGCAGCAACGGCTCTTCATGTGTACCCGATAGGGCCCATTGGGCATGCACAATTGAGCATGCAACCACCCACTCCAACAATCAGCCTGAGACACATGATACACACCGACCGTGCAAGCGTGAAGCTAGGGATGCTGTAAGCAAATTTCAATTAGTGCATTCACTGCCTCATGGGTGTACACGCTCGGCTAGAGCAGTATTCACAGTCGGTGAATGCTCTGAGTCAGCAGCGTGTCAGCGGTCACTGGACCTGTTGACACCTCTTAGTCACCCGCTCAATACACCTGCCTCCCTGTATCACTATGTATCATGTGTGGACACACACGGGCTCCGTGAATACCTTGCATCTGATCTCTTAATTGAAGCCAAGTATAGCTGTAGACCTTCAAGAAAGGACACCGTCTTGTGATTAGCAAACAAGATATTCTCGCGGGGAATAATATTGCCACAATGTTACATTCTCATTGAAAGTGTTTGGCAAGTATGTACACACTTGTATGTACGGTTGTTGTATGGGGTTCTATGGCGGGGCCTACCGTGTATCTTGATTCATCAAGGGGGGGTTTTCTAACCTGATTACTAATACTTTCACCTACGGTGGATTGTTCTGTGCTAGCTGACACCGTTCTGTACTGAATCTGAAAGGATATGGGAAACGCTACTAAGCAGTTGCACTAGACGACACAGGCATGTTTTCAATTAGTACGGGAAAGGATTGTTTTTCGTTGTAGACCAGACCTTATAAGGTCAAGAACCAGGCTTGCGCTCTGTGTTTACATTGAGTGGCTACAGCACACTCATCATGATCCCAGATAGAGGAAAACAAGGCAGCCTGCACACACAGCTAGCCTACTAGTACAGTCCCAGACAGGAAGGTCAGAAGCTTTAACATGTATACACGTTTTGACTCTGTCTCACTCTGCAGACTCACTAACTTGGTTATGAACCCACAAGGATTCTACTTAGGGAAGATTTCTACTGAAGGCACACGCAAGTTGTGTCTTGCATAATATTACGTGATGACCTTGTAACTGAAACTAATGTTCCCACAGCATGAAGTACTGCAAATCAGCAACTTGTAGTGCCTAGTATATGTACCCCAATTAATGATGTCTTGCGTTGTCATTGTGGACGGATGGGTGGGTAACAGACAGAGGGCCAAGTGATTCATACTCGACTAACTGGAACGACCATGACACACACACAATGAACACACACATGTATGTACGAGGGCTAGCTAGTATACATACAGTATTAGTAGGACCAGGCAGACGAGGTCACACCCAAACAACGTCCATTCCACATGAACATGTTTGGTCATAGACGCTGTCTGGGAGAGTGCCGTGCACATTCGACAAGACTCGAAGAGCACATGCCACCAGCATTAGGTGAATGGATACACACCATGCACAGAGTGAGCTGTACTGATGATGTGTGCATACAAATATGCACGTCCGAATGGTTTCAGAAGCACCCAAAATGGTGCTGAATTTGAGGCTAAGAACCTTATATAGGCTTAATACAGCAATGTTTAAGAATTTCACTGCACATTCACTGAGGACACATCAGTGATGCGTATTGACTCACTAGTTTGATGGTGTCAGAGTTTCGGAGTAACTTTATCACCTTCTTGAGATGAGTGAAGATTCGTAATTGCTCTGTGGAAAAAATATAGCCCATTGTAAACCATAGGCAGTCCAAGCGGATTTTGTGGTATGACAAGGAATGTCAAGATAGAGTAGCATTGTATGCACAAAAGTATGACAGGGGGCTAATAGTGCAGTGAGGTAATGGTACTTCATGACACTCTGTAAAGTGCATGTGAGAAGGTAAACACTGTTGGGTGCTCTAATCACATAAAAGCAAACTACAAAGGCCAGCCCAAGGAAGTGATTCAGGAACCTATGGCCTTAGTCCCATGAAGGGATATGAGGTGTACACATACACACAGGTTCATTACACGCCCACAGTTAGTAGGAGCATGTTCAGCGATACTGAGAGATTAGTCCCTGAAAGGCATGATTGGATGTTTGGTGAATCTAGCAAGGGACAGCGACATGTGTACGCTCCTGTGTTTTCTGTGTCCTACAGTGCGTGACTATATATCACTGTGAGAGTGCAAGGTCCACTGTAGCGACCTCTGTGTAACAGTACAATGCTTGGGCACTAAACACACACACACACACACACACAGAGATAGACTACACAGAGTACAGACTCCACTGGATATATGGGGCAATAGGGCGGCTTGCAAGCACCGGTTGGGGTGACTATGAGAGTACAGACGGCCTGAAAAGGAGCTCTGCACACAAACACAAACAAGGACCCTTGTTTACATCTGGGGCTATGAACTATCAGTAGAGAGGGAGACAATGTGTGGTTGGATATACATATGTACATGCAGAGGATACTGTGTTGTTGTGTATTCTATTCCATAGAGGTTTGAAAACAGGTGGAATTTCACATTGTAACACATGATCACACACGCCTGTGGAAAACAATCGAGAGTGAATCGAGGCCTAGAAGGAACACCCGGATGTATCATTATGTTATAGAAGGAAAATTAGGTCAGAGATGCAATTTCAATGTACATTATGTGGCGGTCGTGTAAGATGCTACTTAAGAAGAGGTGAAAGGACAGAAAAGTTACAGAGTGACAGAAAAATGACAGTGTAAGAGAGAGAGAAGGGCAGGTAGTAAAAAGGAGATGACTGATGCTAGAGAAGGGTGCCTCGCAGAGAGAGAGAGAGAGGACCATACCTCCACCATGTCTCCCCAGAGAAGCCCAGGGTCGCGGAGGAAGGCTAGTGACGTAGTGCTCTCTTGCCACAAATCCTTCGTGACTGGACGAAGACAGGGTCTCCTCCGCATCCTGGACAAGATATATCACAGAGCATAACCCTTAGTATAAGTTACTTTGAGCATTCGATGTACAACATACACCACCAAATTGCTTGCGCATTTGTAGTACACACTTCTTCCCAAACCTTTTTTACATTCTTGGTGAGATGCATGAAATATCGATGAGTCCCATAGAGGAGGTATAGCCAGCAGTATGCAGGGATTTGTATACATACTATAATGTGGGATGGTGCATGGAGGTTGGCTGGAAGGATGTGGTACATGTTAGAGGAAATGTTCACTAAAACCCAGCAACAGGCTACCGGGAGGTGAAGTCAGGCACAGTTTCCTGGGATTGAATACATAATACATGCACCTGTATACATGTACGTTGGTTGGTTCTTCATTCAAGACTTGAGTCACCAAAATGGAGTTACAAGGCATACTTTACAGTAAACATGCTGGACAGGTAATGTGTTGGAGTTTAATCTGAACTGCACACTACTTGGGCACATCTCTGTGTGGCCTTGTATGGTGTGGAGGTTGAAGCAGCTCACACACACACACACACACCAGACCAAATGTAGCTAAAACCATGGGTATGGATGCACCACCAGTGCAGTTCAGCCCTTCTAAGGACCACCCACTACAGCTCTCCATGCACCTCTAGTCAGTGGCTGTGTATATTCCTCCCCACACACAGACAGCTGCCTGCTACACTGTCACTTTAGCCCTGGCAGTAAACTGGTTCACTAATGCATCGTGACAACACCGTGACACTGCTTCATGCACTGGTGCAGCAGCTAAGCTTTCACTGCTCTTGCCAAAACACAAGTTTCTGCCTCATCTCAGCATGTTTGATATGACAGCCTGCAACTAAGGCTGTAAATCAGGCAAAACCATGCATGGCGAAAGGTTGTATGCAAAATAGCACTGCTCGAACATGCACACACGCCCTTAGGCTCTACGGGCTGCAAGAAAAACTACTGTAGTGTGTGCTTTAGTAAATTAGAGTTGTGAACGCATCGACATGTGTAAATAACAGCGAAGAGGCAAGCACTTCAGTAATATGCTCACCGGAATTTAGATCTACACAGTCGCACACGGTATGCGCTAGAACACAGTAACCTCAACGACTTCAGTTAGCTATACCCAGTCACAGAGCAACTCACGCTTTCTTGAGGGGACGGGGAGTTTCTTTCTACCGTCAGTAGAGACATCTCACTCTTACACACACACACAATCTACGATCCCACGACAGGAGCACTAGCGTCTGCCGGGTAGACCAGCAACCAACTGACTGTGCAAAGTGCTCTGTTTCGGGTGGCTTTGTGATCCAAATTTGGAAATGAGTGCTAAAATGGGCGGAGTCTATATTTCAGTTCTAATGATTACGAGTCTTGGAACCGCGGACTGGGCACGTGGCATCATCAGTATGAAATTCAGTTGGACCACACCCCTTAGTCAATGCTGGGCGTGGTTTTAACCGCCCCCGCTCAATTAGCAATGTGCCAGACTGCGATAGCTGTTACCTCACTAGCTGTCACTTGTTAGTCGATCTTGGCTCTCCCCCGTCTCCTCCTCGGAGATCAGCCAGTATTACGTGAAGTCCGGCTCTCTCTCTCCCTACTGGTGTCTCGGAAAACGACGTGTGTGTTTGTGCTCCGTAGTTGATTTCAACAGCTGTTTGAGCTCCAGTTGTGTGTGTCTGGCTGTTGGCAAAGGAGTGTGTGTGACTGTATGCAGGCATGAGCAAAGCTGCCATAGGTAGACAGAGGTCCCTAGAGTGCGTGCCTGTGCGGCGCAGGAGTGGCACCAGTCCTGAAGGTGAGGTCCTCAAACTGGTGATATTACAGAGTGGGTGTCCATGAGATTCCTTGTGTTGTGTTTGTGTTTTCTCTCCTGTTGAGATGCATACACTTTCTGGTGTGACTGCATCACTCTTGCTATGTAGTACATGTGTATTCTCGGGTGTGTAGCAAGCTACAGCAAAGTATTGTGGTCAGCCTGTCTATTCATCATTCTTGTGTTTGATGGTGTGTGCAGTGTGTGAATCTGTGACTCCCACCAGAGTTCACAGTCTGTCAATATTACTGCGTGGTCTGTGGCTCCGAGTGGCACACCACACACGTACGCTTTGGCAGTATGTATTGCTACGGCTGGGGGAGTGTGGCGATTTTTGCATGTTGTTTGTGACCTACGAGCAGTTGCAGTAGTGTATATCGTGCAGTTATTGTAGAGACGTACTTCGTTACTTTGCCCCTCTGTGTGTCTTGTCTGTGTTGTGTTTCTACAGAGAAGTGTCATGGTTGTGGCGAGGAGTTCCCAAAGGAAGGTGTCACCATCCTCGATGCAATGAGCAAGGCTTGGCACGTTGAGTGTTTCAGGTACACCGCCACCTTGTGACTACTTACAAATATTTCCCACCTTCCGCTGCGAAAATTTGTGTTGTAGCATTCTTGGGCTTCTCCATAGTTATTCACTGATGTTGTTTCTGTGCGTTCATTTCTCGCCAGTCGTAGTAAACATTGTAACATGTGGCTACACAACAAAGAAATTTTCTTTTTATCAGTATGTATCTAGCTTCAATTATGCATAAGGGCTAAAATATTTCCCCCTAGCCCCCTAAACTGGGGTGTGAGTATTATAATTTCACTAGCTATGGATCTCTGCTCATACCGAGTGCCATAGGAGGCAGCCTGCTCGCCACTCACTGGCTTCTTTCCTTGTTGAAAGGTATACTATGGGGCCTCGGGGGGACTCTGAAATAATAAGGATACTGCTGCGAGTAAACAGCGTTTTCTCCTTTTTGTATGTTGTTCTATTACACATAAAACTTCTGACATCCTCTGAGCGGGAAGGAACAGCTGTAGCTCCCTCACTGGTTAAATATCTGGCATTTTAAAAATGCATTCCATGGCAGCGTCCAACTAATAGTTGGAGGCATTTTTATGCACACATGGAATTACACCAATGCATCACATGATTATTTTGCCACAAAGTGTGTATTAAACACACACACAGCATGAGACTCACCAGGTGTGTCTCTATGGCTGTAGCCCGGGTGATTAGCCTGACAATAGATTGAGTTAGCTTGGCAGGAGTGGATGTGTGCATGCTCTTATGCGATTTAGAACAACTGCCCTTTTGTTACCCAGCCATACATATTGGTGTGTAGCAATTTGTAGGAATGGAGCCATCAATTCGTGATAGAAAAACAGATACAGTATAGATGGGGTGCTTATGGATTATGCAAAATTAGAGGGACTTCACCTGTGTGTTTACCACAGTGGAAATCAATGTAGAGTCTTATGTGCAAATTGGAGTTTATACGTACATGTGTTTACCATGGTAGAATCATTCTGGAGCCTCATGTCCACTCTCCCTCCACTCACACCTTGCTACACCTCTTCCCCTGTCAGGTGCTGTGTGTGTCAGACCACTCTACCTGAGAGCTACTATGCCGTGGACGACCGGCCGTACTGCATGGACCACTACTACGAGACCACTGCACACAGGTGTCAGGCATGTGGAACCTACATCACTGGACCTACCATGGTCAGTCAGTCACGAGAATTAGATATTGATTAGCTGTCTTATGTGTAGTGAGGTTCATACAATGTTACAGTGGACATCCGTACTTTACTCTGAATGTATGGAGAGGAAGTGTAGATGATAGTCTCAGATCTTGCCTGCATGGCACATTAAGACTCTGTGTCTAGTCTAGTAAAGAGAGCCCAGGCCTTCACCACTACATTTGTATCACTCATGCACCATGTAAAACGGTGAGGGCCTGGGCTCCGAGGCTATAGTTCCTCTGACAAGGTTTTCACCTCAACTGCTGCCTGTTGCTCACAGTAAACCATGGGAAGGCGTGTATACTTGATCAGTGTGTTTTCCTGCTTTCCTTCCACAGACTGTGGGCATGTCCAGGATGTACCATCCCGAGTGCTTCACCTGCAGTTCATGTGGAATACCTCTGGGAGAGAGAGATCCATACACTCTCTATAACACTGGACAAATCAGATGGTAACGTCAATCGATATATACCTGCCCCATAATCTCCATTGCCCTTGTTGTTGGCATGTTATAAACAGACCTTCATTTTCTACTCTGTTACGCTTATACATAGTGTTGGGTGTTTCAAGGTGTGTTTCAAGGGGCATTATAATAATAATGGTAAAAATCCAGTGATATTGGAACAGTATATATAACCGTACATAAGTTGAATAGTGAGTGCATGTACTCATGTCTTATGTAGCCGTGTACTTAATGACATTACACGTCCCATTAGTACAACTATGAGATGATACTGCTACTCATTTTGACTAGATGATGGCTGTTTGTTTTGAGTACTACACCTTGCGTTGCTTTCTACGTGTGTCTACTTCCCTCATGCATGATGATAGTTGTGACTGCTGTGCGAGTGAGGAGAGGAGAGAGGGAGGAGGAGGGGTGGTGAGGAGAGATGGGGGAGGAGGAGAAGTAGAGACTTATTCCAGCATCCAACTCATCAAGATACCTCTCAGTAAAAAACCTGTCAAATTCAGGTAACATGTGCACACCTAATACTACATAATGCAATGGAAATGAATGAGTCTTTTTTGCATATTATTTAAAGTATGAGGATCACTGAAGAAGGAAATGCTAAACCATGGACTAGCCACGATAGCACATAATATATCACCAATTAAACTCTATCCTGTTCAAGAGGTCCAATGTTGCTATAGACCATTCAACAAGAGCTTTATGATGAGTAAGATCCTATTCCGATCAGATTTTGCTACGCCTGCATGTACTTGCAACTGTCCAGATGTAAACACACTCATTTTGCTACTATAAACATACTACAGACAGTAATTGATTACTCTAATTACACGAGACACGTAAACATACCGGCTGTGTACAGTTTAATATTATTGTGTTGCTCTTACGACTGCAGATTGGAGGGTTCTCCCCCGGGAGTCAAGATGGCAGGAGGAGTGCCTGGATTCTCAGCCCCTCGGCTGCCTCTGCCGGGGCAGAAGGTGGCCAAGAAGAATGCACTCAAAATTGAAAAGTATGTACACAAGTATAGTTCTGTGTGTCAATTTTTATGTGCATCTGACCATTCTATTGCAAGATGTAAATTTGTGGCAGGCTTGAATGTGAAAAGTGTGGATGAAAAATTAAATGTGGTAGCTTCTATATGCAATGTCGAAAGTAAATTTCAATCCAGTTACACGAAATCTTGGAAATTTCTTCCGTAGAGTGTACAGCATAACGTAGGTTTTCCCTTCTAGTCCACAGAAATCAGAGGGGAACTGTATTAGTGCATATATAGGTGCATGTAAAACAATACCCATGTGTAACTTTCTCTCTATCGATAGTAAACACGTTTTCAGACGTTGCTCTGAGATTAAGTGGTGTCTTGGACCACTGGTTAATTTGTTGATGTTGAGCAATGTGTATACTTGGCTCTACTGAGACGTTGAGCAGAGGCGCTGGTGTTTCAAAGTCTCTGCACATCCCCCACATGTGTACAGGATTCTTGTCTTAGCTGTCCCTCCCTCCCAGTGTATAGTTGTGACAAACACGTTAATGAGGGCGGAAAGGATGGTACATGTATGTGTTGTATCACCACTTGATGTACATACGTAGGGATGGGCACGGCATAGTGGTGGAGTAGTACGTAGGACATGGTACATGTACATGTGCATACCTACTGTATCTAGCATCATAAATGTATGGGACTATGATGGAGAGGTTTTGTCTATTTGTTACATACGTCACTGTATACATAGGTTACCTCGGAGTCTGGTAGGGAGTCCTCTGAGACCAGGAGACGATATTCTGGAGATCAACGGAGTCGCCATTGTGGACCAGGACCAGAAGGAAGTGAGTCATGTACTATCTCTTCTAGTAAACACTGCCTGAAATACGTAGGAAAGCGTGTTGGCGAGAGTCAGTGGAACGTTGGTTGTCTCAAGTGTTGTAGAGTTGTTGGCATGCATACAATGTTGCAGGGTATTGCAGAACACTCTGTGAAGGTCCTGAACATTGAAAATTCTGTTAGTCCTGGATGTCAAGTTGTTTGCCTTAGCTTTGATAGCATGTTACAGAGAATAGAAGAATGCTTTGTCTTATAGACGGCGGGGCTCGGGACACTGGTCTTGTTGGTGTTTGTTGAAGTGTGCCCCTTGCCTGTCTTCACCTTGCATGTTGCAGTTCATGGAAGAAAGCGTTTTTGTCTTGTGTTTAGTGACTGCCTCCTGACCTTTTCATACGGTCGCTTTACAAGTCATTAGTCTTAAACACTTCCATGCACATGTATGTATGTAGGTAGATACCAGAAACCTTATTTCGTAGTGTTGCGGTGGTTCTTGTAATGGTTCAGTTGTCAAACAACCATTTTGCTTCATCTACATTATGTATGTACAATCCATTAAACACCAAATGTATACGAAGCCTCTCAATGTAGTACCAAGTACGTGTGTACACATACATACTTGAATTGTGTATCATGCCAATGGTGTTTATAGTCACACATGTGTATAAAATCACAGATCAATGGACTCATGCACGCATATGAGGACTGTCTCTATCTCACCATTGAGAGGAAGACACCACTCTCTACCTCCACTGCCACTACCAACAGGTCCAGTGGCCCCAAACCCATCCCCTTGCCTAGAAAGAATCGACCAGTCCAACCCACCACCCCTGGAGGAGGGGGAGGGGGAGCAGTGGGGAGAGAGTACCAGTGCCTCCCACCAATCATCCCTCCCCGGCCATCAGTTACCCCTCGTCGAGGAGTGGCTAGCCCCAACAGAACAACACACTCTCTCAGTACACAGTGCTCTGGTGACATGGTCAACCCTGCTCCGTGAGTTTACTATGTACCTCACACCACAATGATGTAATGGCTTTGAACTTTCCTATGACGTAAGTACAGCATCCATTGCCCCCAAAGCAATCCTAATAATCTCCATCAATTACTACTTACAAGCGGAGAAAGCCCATACCTAGTTTTTGCCATTGCACAGTTGGTACATCGTTGTTTCTGTAAGGACTCGGTTTTACACACTGTATTGTGTATTCTTTGCAGAGAGAATCTGAGGTCGTGGAGAACCAGATCAATTCCTGCATTTGACCGCAGCGCTGACTACACCAGGTGAGTAACTATGCCACTCTCTTTGCCTTATACCCAGAGGGCACTGACATGCATGTACAATATCGTGATCAATCTGCTTTTCTCAGATGTTTCAGGCTGAGTGACCTGGAGATTGGTGGGGTCATTGGTCAAGGCTTCTACGGTGCCGTCACTAAGGTACCACTCACACAAGTTCATAATCACATTTTGTTGGTTTATGTAAGAATCATTTAGTCAGTTTTATCCTTCTCTGTTCTCTCTCTCTCTCTCTCTCTTCTGTCTGTGGTTCCAGGTTCGACACCGCTACACAGGGCAGGAGATGGTGATGAAGGAGATGGCTCGAGTCACTGACGACACAAAGATATCCTTCCTGAAGGAGGTGAGACCCTTGCAGAATACTCTTCACACTTCATGCGTTGTATGAAGCTTCAATAGCGGTGTAAACAACTACTCATTACACACAAAGAGAACTTTTGTTGGTGCAAATAAAGTGTCCCCAATAAAAATCTGGTGAGGAATCTATGCAATGTCATCTGCGCACTGCTCAAATTGTGCATGTAGAGGTCGTGCAAACTATGTGGTGTAAAAGATACTTGTCTCCTCTCCTCTCTTCCTAAAATTGACCCACTTTTTACTCCCCGCTATCTGCCCACAGGTGCAGCTGCTGAAGAGTCTGAACCACCCCAACATCCTCCAGTTCATAGGGATCTTGTACAAGGAGGGCAAGGTCCTGGTCCTCATCACAGAGTACGCCGACGGAGGGACGCTCAGGAAGACCATCAAGAACACAGACAGACTGTTCCCAATGTACCTGCGGATCTCCATTGCCAGGGACATTGCAGCTGGCATGGTGGGTCCCACCATAGCGTATCTACTAGGAGGGGATGAGTGTGGAGGTGACAATGGTGCCTCTGGGCCACGTTATTTACGTGTTACGATGCAAAGACAGAGAGTTCATAAGACTCACGTGAACTTTGCAGAAATGTCCACAATAGCTGCTAGAGATATCGTTTGCTTTGTAACTCAGAAGAGAAAATAAGTTTATTGTAAGATAGATGAGTATATAGAAATGTTAATTTTATATGTGTTGTTCCCCAACAGAGCTATCTCCATGGGAAGGGAATTATCCACAGAGACCTTAACTCCAAGAACATCCTACTAAGAAAGGTGAATGATTACACGTTTGCTAAAACAGGCGAGTAAAAGGAGCTTTGTGTCATCTGAATTGGTCAATTTTTGGTATCATGTCTGCCACACTTGACCATGTTTATGCATAAAAATTCATGTAGACTAGTTCAATGGATGCACTCTATGGACTGCTCAGGCTCACTCATAGTTGGCTATTGTCGTACTGCAGGGCCTGACAGCCCTAGTGGCAGACCTGGGACTGGCCAGGATGTTCCATCCAATGGAGAGAAGGGAGTCCAACAAGACCAATGGGAGGGCACGAGGTGGCAGGAGAAGGTACTGTATGTGCATTGAGACAGTTAATCTCACAGTGTCACTGGTGCGTTTTTGTGTGTGTCAGGTCCACGAAATATGCACGGGCTAGTTTGTAATACCACCTTGAGCCAAAGCTGATTATCCTGATCCTGGGCTCTAAGAACACATACATACAACAGTTTTATGTGCTTTTAGTGCTCAGGGTAGGCAGCTACTGATCAGTTCTGATGTTGGACATGTTACCTTTGTGTTGTAAGATTTAAACCCCTATCAGCTGAGTTGACCCCTGGTAGCTCAGCTGGTAGAGCGCTCAGCCTAGACTCGCGGGTTTGAATCGCACCTAGGGCAGCTCAAAAGCTCTCCTGGCTTGTTTGTTGTGCCTTTGCCTTCTTTCTACCTCGTAGTTTACACATGTATGTTGTATATGTAGGATGACAGTGGTGGGGACACCATACTGGATGGCTCCAGAGATGCTGAGGGGAGAGAGCTACGATGAGAAGGTGGACATCTTCTCATATGGCATCGTAGTGTGTGAGGTATGGGTCTATGGCTGTGCACACATTCAACTCACCAGTTGACTCACAGTTATGTAACTGCCTGGCAAACTGAATCATGCGTATATTGCTCACAATTAGAAAATATGTTAGATTCCTTGGCATAACCGTCGCTTGCTCAGACACTATAGTTCTTGCTCTAATAATTGTGCCACAACTGTGTTTCCCATGTTACTGTATCACTTGTCTTCCTTCACCTCAGATACTGACTAGAGTAAAGGCAGACCCCGATCAGCTCCCACGAACAAAGGTATGTAATGCATGTAATAATACTCTGTGGCATTGCAGTGTTAGTGTGCTGTGGTTTTGACAGTGAATGTTTGCATGTATTTTGTGAGTGTTGATGTGTATGCATTTCGTGTTTCGCTCCTAATGCAATTGACTGGCCACTTACCGCTGTATCTCTGCCATCATTATTACCTGAGTGTTGTTTCCTGTATCTCTCCATAGACATTTGGTCTGGATGTGGAGGGAGTGAGGGGAATGATTGGCAACTGTCCTCCTCCCTTCTTTCATCTGGCCACCGAGTGCTGCGATCTAGACCCTGATAAGAGGTACCTTATGCAGTCTTACATATTTCGTAATCAGTACTGCCCTCTTCCTACTTTGTATATGTATGTACATGCACAACAGTACCACACATATTATACATATATATTATATATAATATAGTGAACACAGCCTCTGCCACCTCCTTGTTATGCCTCCAACATAATAAATATATGGACATACCTGTACATACATACATATACGTATGTAGGCTATATAGGCGCTTTAGTATTATGACAAATTGCTCAGAACTGCATTCTTTTACCATGTACATGTATGTATGTATTTGGAAGTTTGGCTGACATTTATCTCAACACAAACTGAGGTGCCCACACTAGGCTCACTAATTAATGATTACGCGATGAGTTTATAATTTGCCAATTGCCAAATCTTTCGGTACAGGCGCCATGTTTAACCTAACAGTGATATGGTAGTGTTAATTTTATTCCCTGTCCCTTCAGGCCCAATTTCACTCTAATTGAGCAGGGGCTGAACCGACTGCTGGCTGTTGCCATGTCAGCAGAGCCAAACTTCTCGTCTCTGGATGAAAACTTCTATCGACTCCTTCAGTCAGAACGCTTTCAGGTGGTCGGGTTGTGACCCTGTTGTTGGGGACCAATCAGTGCTCCTCCCAATGTTTTTTATTTGTGGCTTTTTGTAAATAATTGTCTGCCACCCATGAAATTACAATGTTCACCGTCATAATGCATCAATCTCTTCATTTTTGTATGTTTTGCAGAGCACAGCTGCACTGCATGATTCATCTGATTTCTCTGGCCAGTTAGTAGTGATCGGAGTTATTGCGCATGCGCGCGTGTGCCTCGTCCAGCCACGCCCGCCCATGGATTCTGTGCTGCGCGTTAATTGGATACTAGCAGTAGTGCCCAGACCCCGCCCCCCACGAGACTAAAAGCAGCATCAAGCTGGCTGTAGGCCCTCTCACTCACCAGTCATGGATTCGCTTTTGTTTGGAGACCAGGACGAAGAGTCTACCGTTCCTGAGAGTGTCCTTAAAAACCTGTTAGTAGAGGTATGCGTTCTGTATGGAGGACCGTCTACAGCTCCGTTTGACTTAGACATCCATCGTTCTTTTACTGAGCAGCCTCCAGGTGGCGGTGGTGAGCCAGGGACAGCTGCCGCGGACAGCAGCAATAGACCACTCTACCAATTCGTCATTCCTGAAGCAGGCGAGGGGTGATGTAGCTGAAAATTTACCACTTGATGCTCCCTACATTAGGACTGTGCCTGAAAACAAAGTCGGATAAAGGGGAGAAGGTTTTTATCAACATTTGCAAGTCTGAGCAGGTAGTACCACTGTCTCCCTGTATAATTCAGGCTACGCAATTTAAGACACTTCTACTGTGTGTGTATCACAATAGACAGACCAATCACATTGTCTGCAGTGTGAACTTGGTGACAATTACAGGTCCCGTCTCCTCGTGATATCAGTGATGAAGAGGTGCAACAGTTGGTGGAGTCTGGAGATGCCACGAAATTCAGAGTTCCTCTCAGTCTTGGAGAACCTCACACTGAGAAAGACAACGGTTAATTACCTCCTCCCACTTCTAGCAGAGACTGTTGTAGAATATGGCTGTTCTCCTTATCCAGCTGGGAAGGACTGCCAGGCCTATGATGTCATTATTAGCTCCAAATTCTTTGACGTCATTGAGGTACATACTTATGGGTCGAGATGTTGGCGTAAAGCACACACCTGTTCACACTGCTATCACAATGAAAAGCACTAAAGTGCAAACCCTCGGCACATGCACTGCACATACGTGCATTTAATACTGCTACTTAGACCAAGCCCGGCAGGCTAGGCCGGCTCCACACCCCAAACTCGCACCCCCCCACCCACAGACAGCCCCACATGCGCAAAATAATCCTATAATAATTATACACATGCGCTAGTTAATTGCTTCTCTACCACACGGACGGAGACGAGGGAAGGCCAAGTTTCGAGGTTACAGCCGTACTCGTGGCTTTTCGCTGAGCTAGGCTTCCTTCATAGCGCATCGCTAGACGCCTCCTTTGTACGTTGTATGCCCTCACGGCCACGGAATCCAGTCGAGGTAAGCCTGTGCTAATTACCATATTGGCTTGTTCACTTGGTTTTCACGCCATAACTTTAGAACACAGTAGTTTTACGAAAATCGCCTTTTTTAAAATGACGCCAGTGTAGCACTGAACCCGTTACTATCTCTCTGGCCGATTTCTTGCGCGTGGTGGCAGAAAACGTGGTAACAGACACACTTACGAACCAAGTACTATAACCCTCTAGCGCATGCGCGCCGAGGGTTAATAAACTAGCTTTATAGCCACAAAGGGCATTATACTCTAATAATACGTCCTTGTCTCTGAGTATAGAAGAGACCAGTGATGAAGAATTTTCTCCTGACTCTGGCCATCGAAGGACTGGAAGACAAGTACAACATCCTCCTCTCCAGAGGCAAGCATTACACTCTATTTTTCGAAAGTCAGTGACCATGGCAAGTTAATGGGTGACATTAATTTAGAGCACTGGGATAGGGCTTGTTTTGTTGACATTTTTCAGTTGACCCAGTATAGTGAAAACTGTATTTTGTATGTTTCTCAGACTGCACTGTTCTGAAAAACCGCAAGTTCATTGGAGCTCTTCCAGAGCAGACTGTTCGTCAGAAACCTAAACCATTCATCATCGAAGTTGACAAGTGAGTGTGTGCAACATCTTATGCTGGCTCTGTATAGTCCGCATGATGTCAGAGAGTGTCTTTCCTGCAGTAAGGAGAGTGGGGTCCAACAGTCACCTTACACCAAGACCCAGGAGATGGAGAGGTATAGCAAAATTTTTAATGGGGGTGGCAGATTAAGTATGCAAAGTTCTCCAAACTCAATTGTCACGAAAATTTATCCTTGATTAGATAAACTTGCACTCACAAGGGAGAAACTGCTTTCCTACATGTTGTCTATGTACCTAGGTGGGTGCAACTAACCTGTAATACTCGCAGTCAGGTGTCTGGGCAGAGTTCTCTTCCTATCTAGCTGTATACAGGAGATTCACATCAGTTGTATGTATTACAGAGAGGGTAAAGAGCCAGTCTACACTCTACTGAGAGATCCAGTGGAAGGAGACCTGCCTCAGTACCTGGTCATGGAGGTGCAGCTCCCCGGAATTGTGAGTCAGTCCCTTCAATTTTACTCACATGCTACTGATAGTTTTGAGGGAGGAAGTTGTGTGTTCACGTAACGAGCATTGCACTGCGTGTCTAACTTTCCTTGATTGTAACCTTTCAGGAAGGAGAGTTTTGTGAAAATTTCCTCACCCACTGTAATATAAGGCCCTCGCTACAATGCAGGGTTATACTCATGGAAGTCTTGGCGAGTAACATGAGCAAACTCTATTGTTTTAATGCGTACAAGGCTCGCTTTGCATGCCAGTTTGTGAATAGATACATACACATTTGCAGGGATCATCACGGCAGATATGTCTGGAGGTGGGAGAAGACAGACTCCAACTCAGCACTCGACCCAAGCTCTACCTGTTGCACCTTGACCTCCCCTACCTACTGGATCCTGACTCAGGTGGCGCTCAGTTCAACATCCACACCACCACTCTGACTGCCACACTACATGTGACTGGTCTAGCTCCCACCCTCTCATAGTACACTGTTCAGCATCCACACCACCACTCTGACTGCCACACTACATGTGACTGGTCTAGCTCCCACCCTCTCATAGTACACTGTTCAGCATCCACACCACCACTCTGACTGCCACACTACATGTGACTGGTCTAGCTCCCACCCTCTCATAGTACACTGTTCAACATCCACACTACCGCTCTGTGACTCCCACCATCTCCTGTTATATTCCACCACTATAGCTGTGACTAATATAGGATTCTGCAGATGCCAATGTGACGCAGGATGTTAGCAATAGTCACTCGTATTTTTCCCCGGCATAAGCACACTATTTTATGAATAATGATCATGTACGTAAAGAGTCTTCAGTCTAAAACATGTCTCCAAAGTTTCCCATCTCCTAAGAGTCCCAGGAGAGGTTCACGGGGTAAAATTCCCACTTGTCGGGGTGGCCGAGGGGCTTGGGGGAGTACCCCGAGGTACTCCACTGGAACGGAGGTTGCTGTCGGTGGGTGGGGCCACTGGTAGCGACACACCCCAGACTTGACCCGTCCTCCATCAGTGCTGAGCTGGTTGCCTGTACATGTGACATGGACAGAACATTCTTTCTCAATTCTCACACAGATGTATCTAACTGTGTTAACGATGGACGATCATGAGCATTATACTGGGGTAGCAGGTCAAAAGGGATATTTAACCTCGTAAATGGGTGGACTGTGTCATCGCAACAATGTAAAAGTGTGGCAAACATGAACCTAGTGTGCAGCTTGTACATAGCAGCCTCAATGTAAGCAGCTTTCACTGAAAGTGGAAAGTTTTTGCCCACATGTGAAAATGTGATAGTTTAAAGCTTTTCAACCACTGCAGCATGAAGTAGACAACCATGGGGGTTAGTGGCTAGTGCACAGACATGTACTGACTTTCAAAGCGTGAACACACAATTACATAATACAGTTGCTGGACCTTGTTGTCAGTGCCTCCATGGTAGCGGTGACCCAGAGCTCCAAAGGGGTATTTCCCATCGGGTGGGTTGAGGTCGGAGCGAGCAGAAATGGCATTCTCTCCCGAGTAAGGAGGAGTGCAGTTGCAGCGAGACAGAGGGTCGTGCTGGAAGTTGTTGTACCTGCAGCAGCATGAACCATGAAGGAGGGTTTACAATACAACCGCATGTCCCAACTGTATATACCATGGACAAAACTGTGTTCCAAGGAAGATTAGCTCATTGGGGCCGAATTATGCGCAAAACTACTGCGCGTAATAGCATCTGGATGTTTAGGCTACTATGTGGCTGTAAGTGGTGTATAGAGTGGCTAAATGCTTGTGTTTGGCAAGAGTAATAGCTGTCATTATGGCAGTGGAGGTTGAACCCACAACACTTGCGTAGCTCTTGCAGAGTGTCTATATACTGCTGAGATACCAAGGCAACTCAGCAAGCTGGGCTCACCTATGCAACACAAAGACAAAATCCTTGTACAGAATACACCATGCGCAACTTCAAGCATTCATGCAAACTGTGAGTGGGGGATATCTCTGGTGTTAAATAAGAAACTTTATCCTTCCAACATCGAACGTTTGAAAAGGATGGTGAATTACAGTAGCTACCCACCTCATGAGAGAGACCATGGAAGTCATGTCAGTCACGTGGGAGTGGTTTCTGGCAAATATCTGTGCCCGAGGAGACATGTCCCAGGAGAACCACGTCCCGTACTTCTTCTCCATGGCTGCAAACCCACTCTCATTGAAGATGTTCGGGTAGTACCTACATAATATTGTGTACAGTGCCAGTGATAGAGAACATTGTGGATACTATAATTATACTGCTAGAAAAGCTGTAATCGACAGCTAACAGTGTGGTGGATAAGGCCATGATACAGGATGCAACTATCAATCGTGAGACCAAGTTGCATGCAACCTGTGATAGGCCATGCAACAAATTTGTTTGGTGTAGGGGTATATTCTCTTCTGCTAGTGGTGTAAGGGTGAAGAGTGTGCTCACGGAATGTTGAAGCTTGGCCAGTAGGACTTGGTCCTCAGCATGTCAGTCTGGTCCTCCATCACTATTTTCCCCCTGCCAACGACAAACAGAGAACCGATACACACAACAACCACCGGCTCAATAGGGTCTCTATTGAAGAGCGCGAGTGCTGTTTACTCACGGGAGTTGCTCCAGTACCCACAGCAGTCCGTCTTGCAGGCTGCTCTGGCCTCTCTCAAACAGTTTGTAGTCCACCACCATCCACTGGTTGTTGTAGCTGCAGCATTGCCATACGACATTCAAATAGCAGAAGAAACAGCGTGTGCCAGAGTGTGGAAGCGTCTAAAAATGGCTATGAGCTTTTAAAACTCTAGCTCGAAAACACCCAAGATATTCAACTGTTGTTGCAAGCCAATAAAACTATAGTAGGGAAGTAGTGTGTTTTAGATATTAGGTTCTTTTTTTACAGTTCAGAACTGTGTGTCCAACGTACGTTCCACTGTTGTAGTTGGAGAAGTAGCGACACCATTCCTCGCCCGATGTGGCAAGCCTGTTTGCTGCCACATTACGGATCCCCTCAAACACTGTCTCTGGGGTCACATACTTCCAGAGAGCTGGGTTGGAGTTTCCAAATGTTGTCTCTGTAGTCACCTACATATGCAACGCACAAAGGCAGAAATTGGAGTGCCATCATGAACACAGGTTAATGTACAACGTGTCTGCAGTGACACCCAAAGTTCAATACTATGGATTTCACTGCAATTTATAAGCATGCAGTACAGTTTGCTGGCTCACAAGTTTAGAGCTGAGCTGGTAGAAGTCGTCTCCACTGAGGAGCATCCCGGGATAGGAGGAGAAACTGACCCTGTGGCCTGGAACCACCTCTGCAACTGGCGGTGAAACGGGAGAACTCTCACTAAAGTTAGGATGACCGGGTTTGCCACTGACTGTTTCCGGCAGTTGAGAATCTGAGATCGTAGAGTTTGTATATCCTCAGCATGCTCTGGTACTCTTCCCATGTGTCGTGGGAGACAAAGAGCTCCGAGTGGTCTGGCAGTAGTTTCACCAGTGCCGAGCACTTGCCTGCACCGATCACCTTGTCCCCCACCTCTCCACTGTCAGACAGGGCACTCTGGAGGGCATCCAGGTCTCCACTGATCTGCATCAGACTAGGGAACAGCCATATCTTGTGAGGGTATAGGACGGTCGTGCTTCATGTTTTGCATGTGTGGCAGATTTGGCCACATAAAACATTGGTAGGTCATCTATACCAGTGAATATATTAGCTACATTATAGCAAAATTGTTAGGACATTCAACCAATTACCAATTAAAAGTAGCAGCACTACGACTTCTTAATGTCCTCATTTACGTACATGGCATAACACGAGCATACCAATAACGGTACATACACTACCTTTAGTGAAGTGAATGAAAAAGAAAAACTTACAACAGTTGTTGGATGGTCAATGGCTCCAGACCAGTTGAGGTATATCCATCTACTAGTCCCTCCAGCTGGGCCAGGAACAGCTGGACCTGGTACCAGAATGGGTCTGACTCTGAGTACTTGGCTACTGACTCCTCCATGAATTGCTGGTTGGCCCGGATAAAGGCCGTGACCTTGTCACAGAGTGCGGACTCCTTGGAGCAAAACCCGGCCAACGTGTTCTTCCAATGCATCAACATCAGGTCAGCTATAGAAATGGGAGGGAAGAGGCTACTAGAGTGTGAGCACTATAATATATACCAATGCCATATGCAGCATATATTGCATAGGCAGGCTGTGTCCTATAGAACAAGTCTCCTTCAGTCAACGACAAGGGTGTCCATTACCAATTACTTGGAGTTTCGCATTGGGAACTACTGGGAAAATGGGAACAGATAAAAGAGTAGGAACTGGAGAGAAACAAACCTACATAGGAAAATATTGGCCTCAAGTCTAGTCACCAATTACTCTAGCTGGTGATAAATCAGTCCACAACAAATTCAAAGATTAGGTTATCTGGGACTTCACATATGTGTGTGTAATGCTAGTTGGTGTAACAGACCTGTAGCAGCTCCTTCAGCCATGCCAGCAGCTTTGGCCAGTGCCATATCATCTCCAACATCCGTTGGGCCAATGATCTTCAGAAAAGACCACCTACATATGCATCAAAAGCACAAGAAGTCGTAGTTGTCAGGATCCAGCCAGCAGCTAGCTATAGATCCACGGTCGCATACTCCAATATGTACATCATCTATAATTATGCTTATAGCTAAACTAGTAGTACGCATGGGAGCTATCTACAAGCTGACCCTGTAGTGTTGATGGTATTGTTGAAGTCGGCGGTGACGAGGGCGCCGTCCACCCATCCCTCCACCAGCTCCAGTTGACCCTCCGCATCCCTGCGAACAGACAACTGCCTCCTCCCTCCCCACACATTCGCAGCTAGGAGCACAATTAGAACAAGTACTGCTGCACGAGCCATCTTCAACGTTTCTCCAGCCCGGAAAACACTTGTCTCGTCGTCTGGTCACTCCGAAGTGTCCGGAGAGCTTTTGAGAGCTTTTTGTATAGCTGGTAGCTCTCGTTCCTGGCTCTTTCGGTGACGTCGTCTTTCTTGTGTGCTCCCCCATATCGTGCGCATGCGCGTGTTCTGACTCGTAGGCGCCTAGTGCACTAATTGCCGCCCACAGCGCTGCCGCCGACAAAGAAAGAGAAACTGACCCTCCACTGCTGAGTCTGGACCCTAGCGGACGATGGCTGCCTCTAGTGGATCAAGTAAGGCCACAAACCCCCCGCCTCTGGTATTGGCAAGACCTTGATTACAGTGTTCGATTAGTAAACTTACTGATATGCGCAGGGAGTACGCCTTGAATTGGAGGTGGGCACTACTTGCCTTGATAATTTTGCATTGGTGCACCTAAATCTGAGTATTGGGCCATATTACCCCCTCCAACCCTCTGTCTGTTGTGCTACAGGTGAGGTGGCCAAGCTCCAGCAGCACCTGGACCTACTGAGGGATCAGTACGTGAAGCTACAGCAGAAACATGCAGAGTTGGAGCAGAAGTACACTCGCGCCATCGCTGCGTCGGGGAACGCAGGGAGTGACCACTTTGTGTCTCGCCTCCTGAAGGTCGTGTCCGATCTCTTTGACAAACCTCTTTACAGGTATGTACAGAGTCTGCATTGTCTGTTCTGTTGTGAGGTGTATGTAGCTAACTGTGTCCCTTGAGAGGCCTTGTAATCTGGGCAAATTGTGTTGTTGCATGTGATGCTGTTGCACATTAGATCATTATGGAGCTGAAGAGATACAGTGTGTACGTACACCACGATGTATAGTAGAGAGCATTTTTGTCCATGCTTGGAATGTGGGACATTTGTGTGATGGTTGAAATTCGTGTAGATTCAGTGACCCACCATAGTTTCTGAATGCATACTCTGCAGCGGATGGTTGAATCCAACCTATATGTGCTAGTTGAGGCCTACTGTACGTACCGGTGCGAGTACTCTACAGAAATTATTGGGCTTGCTGAAAGTTCTCCACGCTCATGTAACACTCGTACACCAGCTCCTTCCTCCAAAACACTTACACTGCAAATCAATCACATATGTAGTATCCGTTACCTGCATATGTGGTCTCTTTCTCTATTATCAACGGTCTAATTTCTAACACTATTGCCTTTTCTGTCCCCACAGTTAACTACAGTATTAATCTCCAATTTAGCATACCACATCTGAAGAGCCAAAAATCACTGTAGTTAATTATGTTTATCTTAATATCGTGTGTGGTCATGTGGAGAATATGAATCTACTTTACCTCCCGACTGCACACAAATTCATGACTCTATAGAATACCAGTATACCTAATATGCTCAATTGCCTGTCAGTCTATCTATGCCCTCTCTATTGCTCTACTAAAGTGTCTCTCCAGAAAGCAATCTTTGTACGTATAAGAAAAGCAAGTTGAAGCTGAACACGTGACCTAAAGAGACGATACACAAATGATTAATGATCTGATATTGCTGACGTAGATTATTATAATGAGCTCGTTTCCTCTCTCTCCAGTGACCTCACCATAATGCTGTCGGACAGAACTCTGTGTGGACACAAGTTTATCCTGGTGGCCCGCAGTCGCCACTGGAGCACCAATGACGAAACTCTCTCGTCCACCTCCCAGCTGGACCTCTCCAACATGACCCCGTTTGTGGCCGTGGGGCTCGTTCGCTGGGTGTACACTGATGTCATGGTCCTGCCCACCGACCAGGACGCTGTCATTGAGCTCCTGGCTGCCAGCAACCGCTACCAGCTCACACCACTCAAAGAAAAGTGAGTGTCAGCATGTAGTGGACCAGTTGTCAGGAGTTGGCAGATAGCATATACGTATATACGTACATACATATACATGTAGCGATGTGTTATCACACTGGACAGCCATTTCCTCTGGTATACCTCAATAGTATGACCTCATGGCAAGGTGTTAGAGAAGTCCCCTCTATGATGGGGAGCCAGCCAGCGAGGCTGTCGCTCACTCTGAGGTCATTCAGCAGTGGAACTGACCTTGAGAAACAGAACCAAGTGTGCGACTTTGAGTCTGGATTCAGGCCTTTCCCATTTACACGTAGACACAAAGATTGGCCCCAAAACCCACGCACCCCTGGCACCCCCGTTGACATGTGGGCATGTGGAACTACGCAAGCAAAAGGGGAAGGCCTTTGTTTTCAATCCCCAAACCAAGGCTCACTCATTTTTGTGAGGTGGCTAGAGATGGTTAGGAGCCAGTGAGACTATGTGTGTCCTGGCACAGGAGGAAATGGAACTAACATAGAGATATCTGGAAATACCCATGTGTGACCTGTTGTGCTTATGAACTCTAGACCACCTCCAGTTAAAAGAAAATCTTTGCTTGGTATGAAGTCATCTGTAGTACCACCCAACGATGTTGGTGATGTTCTACATACATAATGTTTCATTGGAGGTAGTATGCAAGCTTACCCGCTCGCACAATATTGTGTTGTACATACGTAAATGCTCTCATGCAGTAATGCTGTTGCTAATGTGAAGTCAATGTACTATTATTATAGGTGTGAGCAGAGTCTGATCTCCACGGTGAACGTTCGTAACTGCATCAAGCTGTACCAGACCTCCGAGGAACATGCAGCAGAGAGCCTCAAGACATACTGTCTACAGATCATCTCCAGCCACTGGGTATTATGTACATACTGTATGTACACTGGGATTTTAGTTTCGTCCCTTACAGTTTGAAAATAAATTTCTCAGCATAATCTCTAGTTCTGGATCGTGTAATATGCCGACTTCCATGGCAGCAGTAGTATCAAACCATACGAGGGGACACACCCACACAGTGGAAAGTCAGAATATTTGGCCCAGTACGAGTGATGGAAATATATGCTAGAAAGAAAAGTGCAAAAAAAAGCGACCCTGCCAGGACTCGAACCTGGAATCCCCTGATTCGTAGTCAGATGCCTTATCCATTGGGCCACAGGGCCTTGCTGTGTGGGAACTCTGTAGTATTGCTGCCATGTTCTCCCCACAGAACAATCTGAACACGAGGGACTTTGCAGACCTGAGTGCCCCACTGCTGTACGACATGTTCAAGGCCCGCACAGAGTACCCTCTCCACCTGGCCATCCAGCACCTTCGCGAGGATGTGGTGTTCCTCTTCCTCATCGAGTACAATTCTCAGGTTGGCCTCTCTGTCTCTCTTAATTCCTGACTCTCTCTTTCTTGCTTTCTTGCTTTTACTACCATTGCAAATATGACCCCTGTGTGACGTGTAAGCCAGTATGCAGCTGATAATTGTAAAAAGAAGAAAAGTAAAAGAGCGACCCTGCCAGGATTCGAACCTGGAATCCCCTGATTCGTAGTCAGATGCCTTATCCATTGGGCCACAGGGCCTTACTTGTGTGTGAAAGGTTCATACTGTCTTACGTCCCATAGCTTCCCCACCGACTCAACGAATGTGACAACGAGGGGAACATCCCCCTCAACCTGGCTCTCCTGAACCGCCACGACGGTATCGCCACCACGCTGGTGAGCCACAAGTGTGACTTGGACAGCGTGGACGCCGAGGGAAACAGTCTGCTGCACCTGGCCATCCTGAGAGGGGACTCGTTTGCGGCCTTGTTTCTCATCAAGAATGGCTGCAACACGACACTCTCTCGCCACTCTACACATGAGACTCCACTTCACCTGGTGTCTTCCTACAACCCTTCCCGGGTAACTCCATACCTGCATGCCGTAATACTCATGTGTTTCAAACAGAAATTGAGTACGCACATTGATATCTGGGTACTCTGTTTTCAACAGCCCAATGATTGTCCTAATGAAATTGTAGCTATAGTTTCAGCTTGCGTTCAATATCTGTCCCCAGCCTGAAATGTATAATGAAGACAAAGCACTAGCTGAAGTATGAAGTTTCTGAACAATTTGGTACTTGTCAATTATACATTGCTTTTAGTGTTGTTGTTGTGTCTCACCTGATGTATGATACTGTGTCCAGGCTCTGGCGAATGTGTCAACAGCCAGTGTGAGTAAGGCACCCTGGCCCAGTGACAGCATGGTCCATATTGCCAGCCAACTGCTGGAGTTCAAGGCTGACCCGAACGCCAGAGACTGTGACGGCTGCACTGCCCTGCACAGGGCCATACAGTGTGGCAACGCCGAAGTCTTCAATGTACTGCTCTCTAATGACAGGTATATGTATACACGTACTGTATGTATATATACACCAATGTTTGGAGCATAACTCCGACTCTTTTCTCTTTCAATGTCAGTGTTTCATTTAGACCTGCTTCTTCATGTATGTATGTAGGAGACAGGCCCATATGTATATATAAGTTATTTATGCTAAATGAGATGAGCATGTTTTAGTCATCGAACAGCACTGGGGGTAAGGCTTTTGCTAGCTGTCACATAACCTTAGTGTGTTTTTTAGTAGAATATTTCCTGCTTGAATCTTCTTATTTAATTCTTGCAGTCTGGACCTTGACCTCTGCAACAATGCCGGCGACAGTGCCCTGTGGCTGGCACTGTCCAAGCTGGACTCCGCCTACTTCACGTCCGACGACATCACACAGTACAACAACTCCTTCCCTGCCAAGCTCATAACGAGGGGGGCAAACCCCGATGCCCTCGACTCCCGCACGGGGAACATTCTGCTCCACCGTGCAGCCCTCGAATCCAACGAGGCCGCAGCTATCTTCCTAGTGCACCGTGGAGCCCAGCTCAACCCCAAGAATGGGGAAGGAGAGGCCCCTATCCATATTGCCGCCAGGAATGGTCTCCACAGCCTGGTTGAAGTACTGCTGCAACACGGAGCAGACCCCAATCAGCAGACCTCCCTGAGAGCTCCTCCTAGCCCTGTCTCTCCTGTACCATCTGCCGCGGCCGCAGCCACTCCCCTAGCTGCCGTCCCTGAGCCCTTCCGGAAGAGATCCGAGTCACCCCGCTCCCTCCCTCCTTCCTCTCTCCCACACCCTCCACACTCCTCGTCCTCCTCTCACCCCTCCTCCAACACCACACCCTCCCCACACTCCCCCTTCTCCTCCTCCCAGCAACCAGCCTTTGGAGTTGGAGGAGGAGTTGGTGGAGGGATGATGGATTTTGACCTCACCTCATCGTCTGCCATGTCGTCAGCAGCTCTAGGAGCTCTGTCTGCGCTCTCAGCCACTTCGCAGGCTCTCTCTGGACTACAGGTGAACTATAGTCATTTTGCGTTCACCTGAGCCCCAGAATAGCGATGTGTAAACAGGTAGCCCGTACTATATATACTTATGGGATATATGGGATATATAGCCAACTTTTGACTGACAAGGTTTAGAACGCAATGAAGCATACCATCAGAACGGGAAAGTTGCGAGGACTCCAATGGTGTTAGCGTTTTAAAATTGTAAGGAGTTATGACAATATTTCAAGGGCTTAGGTGAAGTCAAACTCTAGTATCGATGTTTGCTATGCATGTTTTTTAGCTTTGTGTACCAAGTTTCTGTACATCTGTAAGCACTGCTGGGGAAGAGCAGAACAGGCTTTAGGAGCTCTGCTAGAGAATGCAGTCGCTGTAGTGAACTGAATGCTCATGCATTTGGGAACAAGGCACTATTATACACAGTCTACAGCTATGAGTGACTTTGCATATTTCCTTACATAAATATATTAATTATTAACCCCCGGTGCGCTTGCATAGCAAGGGTTACAGTACTTCGTTTGTCTGTCTGCCTGTCTGTGTGTGTGTCGACGCCTATTCTGGCACTAAGTAATACCTGCACCAGAAACACGCGCACAGTCTCAGGTATATACCAACCTGGAGCAGGTGGAAATATGCTCATTACAAAATGTCATAGTATGGAGTACCAGAAGAGATAATTATTATAGATAGTATACACAATATTGAACCTTCTTGGCTCAATTATTGGGTGTGGTCTGATGGATAAGGACTCGCATGTTCTTGATCGTGAGGTCGGTGGTTCGATCCCGGGTCTGGGGTGTTTTTTTATAATGATGTAATGTTAGTGTTGATATAAGAGGAACGTTTTTTCATCAGCTCTCGTGGCCAGCCCAAGTGGCTAAGTGGTTAGAGACGTGGGGACTGACACATAAGGTGCCCGGTTCGAATGCCGGACCCGCACTGAAACTGTCAGATGGTCCAGAGCATTGGCTGGGAACAGCTCTGGTTCCTCCCCTTACCCATGAATCTACCATTGACCCACATACATCTCAAAGGACAGCGTACAGTTTGGCATTGCACTGCGTCCATAGACGTCTGTCTGGAGAGATGTAGGGTGGCTTTTTTCAACCACTAGAAGTTATTTTTTCACCTAAAACAATCCAAGGATAAGCTTAAATGGTGCAAGACATTCAGTTATCTTTTTTTAAATGGATTGTTGTGTTGTTTTTTTTGCATAGTCTTAACATAACTCTTTCGGATTGCCCATTAACCATTTTTGTCATTTTTTCCAAGATTTTATGATTTTTGCCTAAAAGTTTTCTTTTTTTAATGAATGGCTAGTATTGTTTTTGTGTAATTATCAACAACTCTTTCAGATATTGCCAATTACCATTTTTGGTGCACAGATTGCCCTACATAATATGTCCATTCACCGCCACAAAACTACTACTCTTAATGTTGAGTTGTGTGTAATGTTGACTTATAGTGACGAAGACTATCCACTTTCTATTAACCGTTGGCAGACATATGCAGCAAAGTTTTAAAGTACAGCAAGATAGTAAATTTACAACACATAGCCCAGCCTATCATTGAGCAGTACCGTGCATGTGTATAGGTTTGACATTTGTAGTGCACCGAGGGTTTGCACTTTAATTTGTATATGCAGGGGTTTGGAGGATATGATGGAGGTGGTGGTGGTGGATATGGTGTAACTGGAGGAGGGAGTGGGTACAGTGTGGTGGGAGGAGGAGGGAGAGAGTTCAGTGGTGGCCAGGGACGACAAACTACCAGAGGTGCCAGCAAGAGCCCTGTCCTGGGCAGGACCGACAAACAGGGTTAGTTCCAAAGTTAGAACTTGTATGCAACACAGCTCATGTGATAGCAAGGCCTTAGAGTGATTTAGTGTCGCACATGCGCAGTCTGTTGTTATTACCCTCGGCACGCATGCGCAACAAGGGTACAGTAGTTGGGTCCGTCTGTCTGTCTGTCCGTTACTCTACATCTCACCTCTCGAATGTCTGTTTGTCTCACAAACGATACCACCTGCTTAACGGGCAACGAAGGTCAGAAAATATGTGGGGTTTTCTCTGAAAACGCTCCGTTGCAAAGCTAGAGCGCTTCCACCATTGTACGGCTGGCTATAGTCGGCCATTTTTAAAACGCGCATGCGCATTGTACTTGCTTATATTCGATCGACCACGTGGTGGAAAGCAAATATGAGAGCCTCTGAAACACCTGAGCTATTGCTCTAACCGCTAATGCAACTACCCTGTGTTATGGTGAGACTCGTGTTACTGGCTCCGTCGATGACGCACGGCCCAGCATACAGCGATGCTACAACTCGCTAGTTTACCGCCGAGGGTTTGCACTTTAGTGCTTTTCATTACGTAAGAGATAATGTGCGTTTAGAGTTCTATATGTGATTTATGGGAATGAGGGGTGTGGTCTCGAGACTCATACAGCACGAGGCGCAGTCGAGTGCTGTATGAGTCTCGAGACCACAACCCGAGTTCCCATAAGTCATGTATAGAACGATAGGACGCACATTATGTGTTTTATTGTGACTCTGTTGCAGTCGTCGACCTCTAGCGAGAGAAATACGACTGCGTATGTACATATAGTATGTACAGTATCACAAATCTGATGGACTCACTTCGCTTGACAAAATATTCATGTTGTACATGAGAATCATATCTTACAAAATGGTCATTCTGTTAGTGTGGAACAACAATCTAGGGGGCTCTGTAAAGCTGGTTGTATCCTGCTGAAGAATCAACCAACCTGTACCTATATTATCAACTATTGCTATCAGCTATTGCTATCCCAAGGCTATATCGTAGTGGACCACAAGTTAGCTTCAAGAACACGGCACCATCATTTGTCTTGTGCAAAGAGCTGGAATCAAACTCTCCACTTAAGAATACGCTGCACGATTAGTAAATGGAAGAGCCGTTAATAGATGAAGTGGACACGCTGATCTCCAGTGAAGAAAAGCTATCCATGCTTGTGCTCATGTAGCTACGTATGTGCTCATAATTATTATACCCGACCCTTGTCTGGATTTCCAGCGCTGCCGTAACAAGCATTGGAGTTGTATGAAAGGCAGAGAATGTGTACACATCTCCCTGTTCCACTTGTGAGAGGCTTGTGAGACCTCCCTTCCTCCTTCTCCTACTGTGAATGTCTTTAGTTTTCCCCTAAACTGAATGTAGCTGCACAATGTCCTACCCCCCACCTCTCTATACACTCAATCATGTTGTGACTTTCACAATCTGGGTCAACTCATTAAACCATTGATCTTGTTTACTGGAACACATTGTTATTCACACTCGGTCAACAATTGTCTTTCCGTGTTTGCTCTATTATAAGACCTGAGTCTAGAATTGCTTGTGTGAGGTGTGCCTGCATTAAAGCATAGTTGTTTAGTTGGATAGGTCGACAAGCTCTTAGTTTGGCAGCTAGTGGATCACTGGTGGGATGGACAGGTCAATCATACTGGTACTGTGCGTAGTGGCCCTGTCTAATGTACAGTTGGCACTGTCAAAGTGTGATGGTAAGGTCTAGCTTTGTGAAATTACATAGTAGAAAAAGTTATAATTTCTCTGCAAACTACCTTTAGTAGTGAGGTTTGCTGCAGCTGTGTATCATACTCTGCGACCCACGCTGGATGAAATGAAGGAAGAAATATCGAATATGAAAAATTATTACGAAGAAAGCAAAACGACTCCCTCAGAAAGTGCTTGTATGCCTCAACAGGACAACACAACTCGCCAACAATGTGTTTGTATGCCTCAACAGGACAACACTACTCACAAGGATAATGTTTGCATGCCACAACAAGACAACACAACTAACCAAGAAAGTGTTTTTACGCCACAACTGAAGGATAATTTCACTTGTGGAGGTACAGGAGGTTGGAGACGTGCAGTTTTTCTTAACGCAACAGACCCCAACACCAACTGTCCCTCTGGCTGGCAGCTGACTGGATATTCCAAGCGAACTTGCGGTAGATTTGGCACAGTACACAGTACCTGTGACTCAGTCTTCTTCCCTGTCCGTGGAGGACCGTACAGTATGGTGTGTGGTCGGATCAGAGCCTATCAGTTTAGTTACCCAACAGGGTTCGGTACAACAGGTCTCTACCGTTGTCGGAATTCCATTAACGATCCCTATGTCAGTCGTGTGGCTGTACTGCATGGCAGTCCTCGACAACACATCTGGACATTTGCAGCTGGGGCATTTGAGAATGCAACGAGTATTGAGTGTGGTACGTGTTGTCCATGTGACACTAATAGTTCCGTGTCTGTTCCATCGTTTGTTGGAGAAGATTACTTCTGTGAGTCTGGTATGGTACATCCTGGGTATTTTGATTATTATCTTGCATTGAGACTTCACTCCAATGACATTCTTTGGGATGGGGAGGACTGTCACTCCACCAGTACATGCTGTTCTTTCAACAATCCTCCATATTTCACCAAAACCCTCAGCCAGTCAACTACCGATGACCTTGAACTGAGGCTGTGTGTCCACAATCCTATAAATTCTGGAAACGTAGCAGTAGAGCTGGTCGAAATGTTTGTAAAGTAGTTTCAGCTAGCCCATGAACAGGACCAGTGTGACATGCGTAGCGTGTACAGTTTTGATTTGTAGAAAAGGACATTACTTGTATGTTCGTACAATGCAGGTGTAAGAATCATTACTTTGAGGTTCCTCACGACATATTTGAACGAATTCTACTATGCCAAGGAGCAAGAAAACAGGCTTTTTGTTAATATGTTCATGGATTTGGGTCCCTATAGGAGCGAAAAAATGTGCATTAAATAGAAGTTGCAAACACATCCGCACAAATGTATACAATTGTGTTGTGTGCATGGTGTTAGTTTGACAACTTACTCTTAGCAAATTAATATAGGTTATACTGCGCGTCAATGGAAATACGCGATTTAGATGGCACGAGGGGCCCTGAGCTGTAGCTGTCTGAGAAGGGCTCCGAGGCCGTCTAAATCGTGTATTTCCATTGACAAGCAGTATAACCTGTTTAGACGGAGGCCGTGCCGGCCTTCAAAATCGTCCAGGTCCGCCGCCTTCCGAAAGACTCGCTCTTGCCGGGGGAAGCTAAAAAGGTCTCAGTTTAGTTTATTTTTGCATCGTAGAGAGGCCTTTCATCGAAGAAGCATCGGATATAGCGAGTTTGAAGTCGTCGCGGCGAGCTCTCAGCGACGGAGCGAGTTTCTTTGCGCGGAAGCTTGCCACACCCCCATCGAAGACGCCATTTTTTGGCGGGCGTCTCCATGGAAACACGCACTTGGAAAATACGGGATTTAGAATCCACGTTTTACGCAATCTGATTGGTCAATTTTAATCTTCCGACGTCTAAATACAGTTAGTATGCATAACAACGTTTAACAGGACCACATGAGCCACATATACTAATACAAGTGCTTACAGTGGCCGGGTAGCTTTTTAATGCGTAGAGATGAGAATAAAATAGGCATCCTTTACTTATTGACTCTCTCCTCCTGTAGGCATCAATCCATTTGGTGCAGACTCAGAGGGAGAGGAGGAGGAGGAGGAGGAGGAGAGAGGGGGTGAGGGAAGACTGACCTCTGGCTACAGAGTGAGTCCTCTCAGTCGGCCGTCTCCTGTGAGGACCACCACCACCACCACCACCAGCGGAGAGAGGGGCTCCAGCAGTCGAGATGACAGCCCCAGGATACAGAGAGCTCGTAAGCCTATATCGTAGCTGAGACGTTATACTTACAGAATGGCTATACAGTGGAACTCCTCTAATGAGGACACCAATGGGACAGAAGAAAGTGTCCAGAGAGGTTCCACTGTATATCAGTGTCAGCACTTGCGTGATTAATGTACACAACAGTGGATGATGACTTGGAGGCAAAGTTTAACTACATATGTATGAGGGAGAGTGAGAAAGTAAAAGTTGATGTATATACGTGATTGAGGCTTGGTTCGAATGAGGAAGGGGAGAGGCAATGTGGAGCTTCTAATGTCTGGATTTCTAACTCCACTAGTACAAACAGTAGAAAATTAAAGTTGTTCGGCAGCGATTATATAAGCCTATATTGTAGCTGTTACATCAGGAGTGAGCATGTTCTGGTGTCTTAGGTGGACTGCAGAGTCAGCAGTACCAGGCCCCACCCACCGTCACCTCTCCCCACTCCTCCCACCCTCCCACCCTCTCCAATCTCCGCCCTCCCTCCCCCACCTCTCCCCTCGGGAGCGAAGCCAGGGAGTTCATTGAACCCTGCGTCGAGTTTGACCCGACCTCTGACCTCGGGGGTCGTACGGCCCTCCACCTGGCCATAGCTCATCGGTTCTCTCGTGTCGTAAACATCCTTCTCTCTCACACTGGTCAGTACAACTTGAAGGGAGTCCCTTCCCCAGGAAGGAACCTTACCCATAAAATCATAACTTTGTGAACACTCCTGTACATAATGATATTCATGACTGTCAACTGAGCCTATCGTAAGATTCCGAGTTACTTGTCCTTCTCCCTGCATATTTCGTGTTATGTAACTCTGCTATTGAGTTCCATAAGATTATGGTAGCAATATATATGTAGGTGTGCCAGAAGGGACTTGCTGTGTGTACTGCTCTAGCCAATACATTACTGTGAAACAGCTTTGTCTAACCACCATACTGCAGTACATTGCAAGTCCCGTCGTTACAGCTAAGAGATGAGCGTTTGTCTTCTTGCCATTGTTCTAGACGGTGGCAGTAGTGGTAAACTGCAGGTAGGACTGGACCTGAATGTGAGAGATGGTCTGGAGGAGACGGCCCTGGGGCTGGCCATCTGGACGGAGCAGTTTGACACAGCTGAGAGGCTCCTGCAGATGGGGGCAGAGCTGGAGGCCGGAGGCGGGAGGGAGGAGGAGGAGGAGGAAGAGAGGGGAGGAGAGCCAGGGCTCCTGTACGTGGCCATTGTCAGGGAGAAGCCGCGAGCTTGTCTCTTTCTTTTGGATCACGGAGCAGACTTCAAGACCAGGTGCACTTGTAGTACATGGAGGGTGGGAAGGGAGCTGTGTGGCAGCCATGCACAGAGTCTTGCTGCTAAGAGTGAGGCATAGTCAGAGCACTGTGTAGCCAGCCAGCACTGTGCATGTGACTGGCATAGTGCGCCCTGAAATGGCTGTCTCACAGATATTCACACTCTGATGATAAACGTTCTATTACCGCCCAAACTGCACACTCTAGCTGGCATGTGTCTTACATTATGTAGTATTATATGTTTGCCACTTACTTTTTGTTCAGCTCTGATGTGTGTACATAATCATACAAGCTTCTTATGTCCTGGGTGTAGTTGACTTGTTTGTTTTACCTTGCCATTCTACCTAGTCGTTGACACATGCTATTATGACAGTTCATCTTTCTCCCCTGTATCCCCCTGTATTCCAGGACGGCAGAGGAAGAGACGCTCCTCCTCCTGGCCATACGACACCAGCTACACCAGGTGGTGGAGCGGCTGTGTGCCATGGGGGCCGACCTCTCCGTCAGCGACCGCAGGGGCAACAGCCCTCTCTGGGTGGCCCTCCGCAGTCGGCAGGAGACTTCTGCAGAGAAATTGGTCAGTAGAGATCCAATTGATGAAAGAATTCCACTTTTAAGAGGAACACCTGCATTTAATTGAGGATTTGAGGAGAGTCGAGGTAACTGTTTTTAAAAAAGGGCCAACAGAAAAGTTTCAGCCCCCCAAATTCGTTTCGTCCTCCGTCCTATGTTAGCATACAATGCCAACGTCGCTAAAAGCACTGCTGTTTGTGAATGTATTTTTGAATGATGAGTTTGTCTCATGGTGTATATATATATTACTGAGTCATTTCGTACGTTTTTGAATCACGTAAACATTACGATGTGTATGAAGTACAGTGGTTGTTCCACCTTTACAGATATGTAGATGCGTTCAGATGACTAGGTAGGCTTGTTTAGTCGCCAGTATTATGCTACAGAAGTTGGCGCTTATGTGAGCAGTGGATACAAGGCTCTCCATAATGCTCCCCCATATCTCCCTCTCTGTCTGTCACAGGTGGTCCATGGATGTGACCCCAACGCCTGGCACCGTGGCAGCGATGGAGTCCAACTGACGCTCCTCCACAGAGCCATTCTCCTCCACGACACGGCCTCTGCCTGCTTCCTGGTGAAGAATGGAGCCGACGTCAACAGCGCCACGAGGCCAGGGTCGGGAGGAGGGGCTTTTTACCCTCCTCTTCATCTCGCCTGTGAACGAGGAATGACGGACGTAGTTCAGTGTCTCCTGGAGCACCATGCCAACGTCAATGCCGCCGTGAGAACGTTGTAACATACATCACTACAACATGTGCACTCACTAACATGACGTGTCAGTGCTACTATGAGAACCACTGCCACCAAGATGACATGATTAGTAGGCAAATGTAGGGGTCCCTTGGCAAGTGGAGGAAGAGTACGGCAGGGGAGCATGCCACAAGCAGCAGTTTATTACGTTGAGTTAAAGTAATTGTAAAATAATCACCAAGTGAATGCCAGCATGCTCGAGCAATGACTCGTTGGATTGTTTTGTGTACCATCTATAGTCTCAACTATGCTAGGTATGTACAGACAAGGAGTATGGAGGCTAGCAAACTCTGCTGAACACTAGCCATGCCATTCACTTTTCACACACAATTCCACCAAACTACCTGTATATATATGTATGTATGTATGTATGTATAATACCTATGACAGAGTGTTTCTGTTGCCTGCTGTGTGTATGGTACGCAGGACTCTTCAGGGCACACAGGACTGCACGTGTCCATCAAGACAAAGAACACCATGTGTTCCCACCTCCTCCTAGCCCACACGTCCCTCGACCTCACCGTCAGGAACAAGGCTGGCTCCACTGCCTTTGCCTCGGCTCTCGAGGCCAAGGACAACGAGATAGGGAAGGCCATCCTACAGAGAGAGCCCAGTGCTGCAGAACAGGCATGTGACCTCTGTAACAGCCTGTGAAAGAGTGAACATGCATGAAAATAACTAGAGCGAATGCAGCACATTTTTGGTGAGCGAAACGACAGCATGCCATGGTTTTCTTATTGAGACCTCATGTTTGTGAGGGAAAGATTGCAGTGTTTTGACTATTTCCGTTTTGCTTGGTCCACTATCTTTGGTTCTACAATATGCTCACCATCTTTGTTGACCCCACTTCATTCCCTTCTGCATACCTATGTATATCACTTTTCTCTTTCTCCCCCTTCTCCCTCTTTCTCTTCCCTCCACCTCTCCTTCTACCCTCCCTCCCCCTCCCCATCCTCTCTCTCCTTGGTCCTGTAGATCGACAGTAAAGGGCAGAATTTCCTCCACCTAGCTATACTCAAACAGGACGTGGAGGCAGTCATATTCCTCCTCAGTGTGAAGGTGGACGTAAACTCCAAGGTCAAGAACCCCACCCTCAACACTGCCCTCCACTATGCCATCAAGGGAGGCTCCGAGATTCTCGTTAGACACCTTGTGAGTGAGGGGCAGTAGCAATCAACCTCAGTAAGAGACTAGTATACAACATCTTGTTTTATTGATGTTAAATGTAGCTCTTCAGTGAATGTGTTTGTGTTTTATAGTGTGGAAAGTTTTGTGCTTGCATCAGTTTTATAGTGAATCCCAAAAGCTAAAAAGTGAATGATAGGCTGCTATGTATATCTGGAAAAGTTTAGCCGCCTCCCCCAGTTTACAGCTCAACAGTTCATGAAAAATCTCTTCCTTTAATGATATTTTTTCTCTCCGCCCCCTTTCTCCCCTCTATCTCTAACTGCCAGTTGTTGGCAGAAGCGAGGGTGGATGATGTTGACAACCATCAGCGAAGTGTCCTCCACATGGCAGTGGAGGGAGAGTTCAGTAATGTCGTGTCTGTACTCCTGGAGAACGGAGCTGATCCCGACCGGGCTGACGAGGAGGGAAACACTGGTAAACCCCTATCGTTAATCCCTTTAAATACAGCATAGTCTAGAATGTTCGAGGTTTATTAGCAATTACTAGAGTTTCTGCACATGCTCTGGGCGCACCCTGTGTTTACCTCTGTTTATAATCTGCAGTATGTAAGCAGCTCGCTACTTTTCAAAACCTTGCCTTGCGTGTGTAGTATAAATAAAGTATGAAACTTTAGGCCACCCTGTCCACGAAACAACTTTTAAGTTTGGCACAATATTATGGTACAAAACCTCTTGTAGCTTCTACTCTCAAGGACACCCGAGAGCCAATTGAAGCAGTTAGCTTTTCATGTTGGTTGGTTGTTTGATAATCTCTTTGTCTCGCCACTGTAGCTGCTTTTTTTTTGTTGCTATTTGCCTCTAAATGCTCCTGTACACGCACGCAGGTATGCAGTAACTCCTTTGGACACCAAATGTAGAATGTTGTGTGCTCCTATGATAAACCCTTTTGAACACAAAGTCTAGAATGTTGTAGGCTCCTATCGGTATTACTACACATCATGGGAGGAACACACACCGTAGCTAGTGCTGTTGCATAACATGCCCTCCTAACACACCTTCACCGACGACACTCTGCATGCCCAAAGAACATTGTCTGCACACAATGCCTTAGTGCACGCAGAAGTATGTAGTAAGACACTGTGATGTGTATGCTCGCGATGCTAGTGTGTCTTGTCTGCGTGTGCAGCTCTCCACACTGCGTTCCAAGTGGGCCACATGGGCTGTGCACAGATACTCCTGCAGGACTCGGAGGCTAATCTGGGAGCTGTCAACAACAGGTATACAGCTAACCTATGGCTGGTATGCTATAAACTATAATTTCATGTATTGCCAATGACCTACAATGTGCATTGTCCTGTGTAACTCACAAAGCTGCCTTCATTATGCAATCAATATTAGATCTGTAGACGTTATTAATGATATATTGTGCATTGTATTGTGCTGACGAGTGTTTAATTGTAGTACTGTATGTGCACATTGAGTTACATTACATGTGTATTACTCACAAAACATGGGATGAGCGTTGAAATGGGTGCCGGTGCAATGTCTGTACTCTGTCTGTTGTGTCATTAGTGTTAGCCCTGGTGTGTTTGTACCATCATATGTGTGCACCAGGCTCTTTGTCTACGTATAGGTAGGTATAGCAACGACCTGCGTGGAGCGTGCATGTAGCTAATGGCAGGACAGTGTACTGAGGGGGCATGTCAGTGGTGTAGGCGTTTCGACTGACAAACACAGTTCCAGTGTTTCCACTGTCCACTTAACCTACCCCTGTGTTCATGTATACATTGTATCTCTCGGGGACACATGTATTGTGTCTGCACAATACTCCCCTGTTAAAAACAACTTGCTAGCCTCCCCCCCGACATGTAGCACACTTTACATAGAAACTTGTAATACATTTTCAAAGTATGTATGTATGTACAGGTGTCCTTATATAATATACCAATTTCCCCTTACTTTCAGAGGAGAGAACTGCCTCCATGTGTTGGCTCGCTACTCAAAGGAGAATGCCCCTGTCATTTTCTCGCTGCTAATGCAAACAGCTCCGGGGTTCCCCATCGATGTCCAGGACAGAGACGGAAACACTGGTCAGCCTTTTCCTCCATCAGTCTGTGTGGGAAGATATCTTTGTAGAAACAGGTTGAGGAGGGTGGGGACTTAACCCTTTGGACGCCATGGGTATAAGCAGAAATTGATGTATAAGGTAGTATTATAACCCCAGTATAAATTCAAATGGACATATGGGCACATTTTCATCGGTGCCTGGTTAGGTATTAAGTGGAATTGATCTTACCGTATCCAGCTAATGAGACTTAGTCCAGGGAGTAAAACCATTCAATTATGAGTTGTTTCCACGCTTCCACTCAACTCTCAAAGAAAACACACATCAGTCGTGGGTGGCAGTATAGGCGTTGACCATGCCACCAGAAGATAGAGCCCTGTGTGGGTAAACCATAATGTTTTGCGTGGGATAGTTTACCCGGGTTCCTTTTTGGTCTACGTACACACATAACGGTCCCCCTAACCTTACCACTGCCACAGCACTGCTACTGGCCTACATTGCTGGCAACACCGGTCTCTGTGATGCCCTCATCAGGGCAGGGGCTCACCCAGGTATCGCCAACAAGCAGAGCGTCAGCATCTTTTCGGCACCGATTGCCACGAAGCAACTAATGTTCCGAATTCTGGACCAGATCTCGAAGGAACCGGTGTGGTTGGAGGGCAACTTCTGTCAGAACTGCAGCATGAAGTTCAGCATCTCTCACAGGAAGCACCACTGGTGAGATACACCACCACTTCCCTGTTGTGGTTGAGACAGGGAGCTATATTTGGCAGTCACGTTTCCTTTCTTCTCTCTTTCACACTCACCTGTATAATATGTACACTGTGTATATACATGTATTGGATACACTGTGGCTATACACATAAATACTCCTTCAAATTGCATGCATTTTTCTTTCTCCCCCGCATGTTATGTGTCATAGCATAATAATGTCTGTCTCTCTCCTCCCTCCCTCTCCCTCCCTCTCCCTCCCTAGTCGTCACTGTGGCAGGCTGCTATGCAAGCAGTGTTCATCTCGCCAGATGCCAATTCTCAAAATTCGACCTGAGCAAGGCTGTTCGTGTGTGTGAAGTGTGCTCTGACTCTTTTTCCATTGCAGCCTCACGTTGACTGACACACACACACACACACACACACACGTACACACTGCAAGCTATAGACAAGCCTATAGTTTCTTATCTCTGTATTGTGGACCGTTATGAAATGTGTACTTCATCTTCATGGTGGTTTTGAACGTCTTGGATTTTTGTGGTTTCTGTGGCATGACAAAAACTTAATGACTCGTTATTGTGTATGTAGCATATCCACTTCAACCCCATTTTTATTGTATATACAAGTACATTCATGTATGTTCATGCGTAGACATGTGGTGAATACTATAATAAGAGAAACATATTGCAGGAGCTGTGTATGTAGTTTCAATGTTGGAATATATATATAGCAATGGACGTTGCATGCTCTTGGGATCTCTGGAGTCACAATAAACTCAACCTCCAATGGTTTTCAGTGTAGATTGTGTCCTCACAAACAGCAGTAAACAGCAGTCAATATCAACACTGAAACTTTGCATCCTGCACCACTGGGTCCAGTGGAAAAATATTAACCACATAAAATACGCAATTTCAATGAGAATGTCGAGAGAAAGGGTCAAGAGTTTTTAGAATTGTGCAGAGCTCCGAGAGCTCGAGTAAAGTCCTCGTGGAGCTCAAAGACACTCTTGTTGGAGTCCAGAGGAGCGGCCGAGACCTGCCGTGGTCGGGCAGTTGAGGCACTCACGGTTGACGATGTCTTACCCAGTACCTCGAACCCTTTTGCGTGGGATGCCAGTTGCTGCGAGGAGGAAGAGGGGGAAGAAGAGATGGCAGTGTCGGAGGAGGTAGCGGTGGCCAAAAGAGGAGGTGGGAGGTTTCTGGGAAGCTCTGTGTCACTCAGTGGGGAGTTGGGGAGGGTGGTGGGTTGGAGGATGCAAGTTCTGTCGAGAGTGGCCGCGGGGGACAGAGGTCGGGAAGGGTTCAGTCGCGGTGGGAGTGTGTACGGACTGGAGAATGCTCCCGGGGTGGCCTGGACCATCTGTCTCACAGTGGGTGGGGAGGATGGTGCCAGACTGGTATCGCGGTAAGAGTGGTCCTCCCCACTGCCCAGACCGGTCCGTGCGTGGTTTTCATCTTTTAGGGTATGGGGAAGGTATGGTGCAATCGTCCCTTCCCTTAACCTGAGGTACCTGTCCTTCTCCCTTATAGCCAAACACCTCTTATCTGACCCCGACTCTCCATCATATCTCTCTCCTGCTTTCTTGCACCCATGTTTCGCCATTCTTACATTAATATCCTGTGACACACCATCTTTCCCCCGTGCTTGTTCCGTTCTGTTACTATACCCTATCCTCTATTCTCTCCCTTTCTTATCGCCTCGTTATCCAAATTTTGACCTTTCGAAGCCTCTCTTTATCTTTCTGTTTCTTTTCATTTGCCCGTTCTCTTCGCTTCGGTTCCTATCTCTCCTCTCGGCTGTCTTTCCTAAATACCGTTTTTTAGGAGTGACGGCTCTTCACTGACGTCCACCAGTATACCGTTCTCAATTCTAGCAGTGGCACCAAGTTCTCTTTATCTGCAAAGGATGCACTGAGGGACGGAGCTGTCTCTGTTGGGGCGCCAATTTATAGTTGGAGGAACAAAATGGAAGTGACTCATGAACGAAGCTGCAGACTATGCGCCAGCTTACTGAGAGTGAGAAGGTTAACCAGGCATTGAAGCTCGTCACGATTTGCTACTTTCCCCCTGTACTCGTAGCTGGCGCATCGTGTGATTTTTTCCTTCTCGCCGACTTGACCTTGCCCATCTGCCCTCCTGATCCTTTACACGAAGGCATTATCCTCGTCGTTCTTTCTTGTTTTCGGCCGTTTCATGAAGTACACCGCTTCCTGTCAGTTCGTTTTGTAACCAGATTGATTCCACTTCATCGACCGGCGTTTGCTCTTCTACACACCCCTCTCCCTTGCCGAGGACACTTGTACGCTGCACGCCTCGAGGACTATGAGCCCCAGCGGTTCCTTGTCCTGCTTCTTCTCGAAGTAGAAAAGCTTTTGTTTTTGTCTGGTTCCCCATTCAACTTTTACGGAACCATCTCGCTTTTATATGTTTTAACGGAATTTTTCGGAAAGTTCTGCTGACGGTCGCATGCGTTTACCTCAGAACGCGTTACCCCAGCTCTTTCTATGTTGTCGATGGGACAGAGGAAAATGGTACGCGATAATCATAGCCACCGTTTCATTTTACGTTTGAGTTTAATCCCACTGGTGCACATCCGAGCTTTTTTTTTTCCCTTTCCCCCTTGGACCTGAGCATTTCTCCCGTAATGCACTTGCTGCCCACTCATATCTGTAGCTCAAGCGGGTGCGGTCTTTCTTGGGATTATGACCCCCTAAGCCTACGCTTCCCATTTAACATCTGTATTTTTACTCGAATCTGTGCTAAAGGTAACCCACGAGATGTTTCCGGCACCACTGCTCTGCTCAACCAGCTCCTCCCTGTCTGTGGGGATACAGCAACGATGGCTTCCCTGCTTTGCCGGCTATGGCTGCCAATTATGTTGAGCTCGACTTTTCCCAGGTTAATGCTGTTTTCTCGGGATGACAGTTATATTCACCTATCATCGTCTATTCAGATCAGTAAGTCATGATTCTATGGTGCCAACGACCGCCCGTGTTGAATTGTGTAGACCTCTTAGGACCATGTCTTTCTAGGTCCCATACTTGGTCATACTTGTTCAAATCTGAAGACGCACTATTGGTAGTCAGCGAACCCCCTGTCTTTTTTTGTGGCGTCACATGTACCCGCCGCTTTCTGTGGGAGCGTGGGGGGGTTTTAAAAAGGGGGTTTTCCCGGTCGGCGTTCTCGCTTTCGGCTTTCTTCTCCTGTACGGCCTCACCTCATTTTGTCAGTAGTCACGTCTCCGCTCGGCCACCCTTACCCCTGGTGTAGGATGTGATTAGTGCGTGCCACGTGAACACATATAGTCTGTTTTAAGTATCGCTCGCATTTCGCCACAGTCCACGAAAGTTTCCCTTCTATTTTATCCTACCATCTTTTTCCTTGTTCCCCTCTTGTCTGCATGACCGAATGTGGCCTGCAGGTGTATTCTTGCAAGGAATTGCTTATTGATTTAAAGTGGCGTTGAGCCCAGTTAGCTCTAACTCGTTGTCTCTTTTACTCCCCCGATCTACTACTCTCCATCGTCCTATCTTACGTACACACACTACCCGCAAACCAAACCACCCTATCGCCACAACTGCGCCTATCTTACAGTGTGGGGGTATGTGGCATTAAACTGAAGTTACAACAGCCTTAAACAGTGTCGATGGTACCAGACCCAAATAATAGGGGGGCTTTGTGTCCTGTTGGCCACACCGTGGTTCACCTCTTGGCTATCCAGCTGCTGATATACCTCGCATATCCTTCGTTCTCTTTAGTCCACATGCACATTATTTGAAGCACTGTGTGCTACTTTTCCGTTCGCGTTTGCTTTTGTTCAGCGTGTTGCTGGATGGAGTGATAGTGGGTTGGTTCAAGGATGAAATGGAAGTCGTGCTATGATTCTTATTGCCAACACACTACAACTTGTTGGTAGCATTTCGCCTTTTCTTGGGTGTAGGTATGCTGTCGTGATTTGAGGTTGTGTAACTCGTAAATTAACCGTGAGTTGGCTTTTTGTTTCCTTTTGCCCTGCCAGTAGGGTGGAGGTTTGGATCGGTAACGCTTGTTTTTTCGGGGGAGTTTTATCGGGGGGTTGCCAGGCCGATTCGGTGGCCGCTCTCTACCTAGGCTCAGTGGACCCCGGGATTTTCAAGAAGGGATTTGGCCTTGTTTCTTTAGCATAACATCACTTCTTCTAGATGCTTCTCCGGCATTTGCAGGGTCTATAACCGATATGACGACACCTCGCAAACGGAGGGGCATTAACCCGTGAAGTTAGGGGGTCTACTTGTTTTTGGTAATTATAACCAACGTCTTGTGTGGGTTTGCAGAAAGACGGGCATATTCAGTGCTGTGACTACTGACCACTACTTGCACCCAAAAAATGCATCACATTCACTTGTTCTTTTGTCCACACTCATTCTCACAGGACGGCGCTACAGACACAAGAACGAGCTCGAGAGGAGGCTATCATCAAAAGACGTACTGAGTTCTTATCTCTCAAAATTGTCATTTTGATGACTACTATCCCATGCGAGTGTGAATTACTCAGTGGCTCATTTCAAAAGGTTCGGACGAATGTTCAATTGCTTCACATTTGTTTTCCCATAAGCGTG